GTGCCCCCGCCGCATCCGCCGCCGCGGCGCCGGCCCCACCTCGCCCCCGTCCGGCCCAGACGCCCTTCCCCTCTGTCTGGCGCACGACGACGTACGAGCAGCTCAACATGGGCGATCTGCTCACCAAGGCGCTCGCGGCGAGGCCCCGCCCCCAGCCCCAGCTGCCCGCCCGCATCGGCATGGCGTCCAAGCCGGGCCCCGTCTCCCTCGTCCCGCCCCCCGCCCCGCAGCAGGGCGTGACTGCCTAGTTGTCAAAACTGTGTTGTACTCATGCATAATTGTACCCCTAAAGAGCACGAGCGGCGAGCACCGAGCGCAGCGAGGCGGGAGGTGCGGCGCGGAGCGAATAACACTGACTGGAGCAGTGGGACGCGACGCCGAGCGAGTGCCGCTCCAAGGCTGGATTCACAGCGAGTCCTTCCAATGAACAACCAATTTCATCACGCTCTATCATCTTTAGGCAGACTTGGGCTGCACTCCGTACTGCTTCCTGTACTCCTCCATTTTGGCGATCTGCTCCTCAAACCCGCCCTTGCGCTTGAGGTACTCGAGGATATCGGCAAAGGCCACAATGGGCTTGACGGGCACGTCAAACTCCTTCTCGACCTCCTCGACGGTGCTGCTGTCGCCCTTGCCGCGCTCCTGCCTGTCGAGCAACTGGACAATGCCGACGAGCTTGCCGCCGGCGGCCTTGATCGTGGCAATAGACTCGCGCACAGCCGTGCCGGCCGTCATGACGTCGTCGATGATGACGATGCGCCGGCCCTCAAGCGGCGCACCGACCAGCGTGCCGCCCTCGCCGTGGTCCTTGGCCTCCTTCCTATTGTACGTGTAGACAATGTTGGTGCCGCGGTTGGAGAGAGCCACAGTCGTGATGGCAGCGAGCGGGATGCCCTTGTACGCCGGGCCGAAGAGGACGTCGAACTCGGGCAGCGTCTGCACGAGGGACGCGAACGCGTCCGCCGTCGCCGAGAGCAGGGGGCCGTCGTACAGCAGTCCCGCGTTGAAGAAGTAGGGCGATTTGCTGGGGGTTAGCTCGGACCAGAGCTGCGCGAGAGCAGAGCAGGGAGGTGAGCAGTGCTCCGCTGCGCTCCGCACCACTCACCGGCCCGACTTCAGCGTGAAGTCGCCGAACAGCAGGACGCCGCTGTCAATCGCCTTCTCGATGAACGTCGTCTTGAAGTCGGCCATGGTGGATTAGTCGTTGTTGACGAGTTGCCCGATCCGTCTCTCCACTCTCACCCACTCGGACTCGGAACTTCTACGGTGGAGATTGGTCCGATCTCCGGCGTGCAATTGGCTAGGTAGCCGATGGAGCCGAGATTGGTGGCAGTGTGGCTTTACGGGTGGAAAAATACAATGCATATGCCTCCGGCGTGGAAAACTGTACCGCATTAGCTTGCTGTTCACCATGCATGGCTTTGCAACTTAGAAAGAATGAAGAGCTCAGTTGTCTATGAGGTTCCTCGATGGGTGAGCAGCCTCCGGGCTTCCAGTTGGGCCAGCTGCGCCGACGAGAAGCACGACTGATCTGCGTTCGGTGTTTCCAATTGGACCCGCGAAGCTATATTCGTGGAGTGAAGGAAATCGCTGGTTCCTCTCCGTCGTTCTGTTCACCATTCCCTCCACACCAGACGAAGATAAACGCCGAAGACTCCAGCACTATCCAGCCTCACGACGGCGACCTCAACGATCAGACGCCAGGCGAGGGCCAGCTCCCCGCCACTGGTACCCCTCCCTCGTCCTCCCAAGACGTCGGCGCTGCCGTTGCGAACGGCTCGGCCGGAGATCCAACTCGAGCTTCGACGAAATGATGCGCCCTGTCGAAGAGCGCTTGTTGCACGATCTGGCGCTCGCCCCTCCCGGCCTCCTCGCTGCCCTCCTGGCTCAGGTCACTCCTGTCGGCCAGGACGGCTAGACCAACGTGAGCCCTCGCTTTTATGCGCCTTTGGACTGACATATTAGGGGAGAGGCGCCTCTGGGAACCAGGACGACGGTCACTAGAAACCACACGTGAAACATCGGCACATCTGTGAGTGAGACTCTCCTGGAGTCGTGCTGATGATAAAAGACACCCACACAGCAGGAGGAGGGCCGGGTCAATGACACGAGTTCTAGCACCGAAAAGAAGAGCAAGGTCGTCATGTGTTCATAGTACGTAGACTTCAGCGGGCCATCCATGCATGAGATGTTTCTCGACCACTTTAGCATCTCGAGGTCAGGCCGAACGATGTTCGTTGCCAATGATATGCATCCCGGCGTTCCAGGTTACATCCGTGACGAGGCGTGAGGTGGAGATGCGCTGACTTTTCTTTCTCTCCTCATTTTCCCAACCACCATCCACCTACCCGATCGCCATGACCTCGACCACATTGATCGACCACAGGAGCCAGCCCGATGAGCAGGAGGACGAGATCGCCCTTCCGAAGCAGCAGTTCGACGAGCAGAAGAACATTACCGAGGAACAGAAGGTCATGATCAACGAGCAGAAGGACATGATCAACGACAGGCTGTTCCAGCAAGACAGACAGGCAGTTACAATGCATGCAGAAGACTTGTTTCGTCATCCCCTCTTACTGGCCGAGTGCACACGGACCGAGAGGAAATCTTGTCGACTTACTCAGGAGCTGATATTCGTGAACATGAGTGTGGTCAGTCCTTCACTGCCGACTCTTTCAAGACCGCTCCACGGACGGAAACAGAGCGAATGTACATGCCTACAATATAGGTCTGGATGTCAGAGATGAGCATGGAGAAAGAGCCGACGGATTACCGTCCGATTGCGATGCGAGTATCCGCCAGGTGGCGGCTTGTGCGACTGAATGGAAGGTGGAATCTACAGAATGCATGTGAAGGGGAGAAACACTGAAAGCAAATAATCGGCACGAGCGGGGAGAAGCATGGAGTGGCGCCGAGCGTGCAGTGGGGATCTGTCCAGCGTACGCGAACGTGGCATCAGCGGATCAGCGGCGGGACCTGGGGGGCTGCGGCGGCTGTCCTGTTCTCCACAGTGCCAAGAGAGTGTTGACGTCGACCTTGCGCGGGCCGAGACTGCGCAGATACTGAGCCGTCGCTGGCCCGTGAGGACCGAGGTAGCTAGCGTCATCCTTGTTAAAGGCCAGTTTGGTGAGTTCAAGCAGCGGAAGATCTTGCGGGACGAGCTGGGCCGCGCCGGGGGGCAGGACTGCGAGAGTTCGAGGTACGGCTGATGTAACGGGGAGGCGGGCACTGGTGGTGGCATACAGTGGTGGCAATTAGTTTCCGGACACCTACCCCGTTGCGAAAACGATCGCTGCCCACCAACCACAGCATCAACCGATGCATAGAGTACACAGGTTGAATCCCAAGATGCAGCTCTATTTGTTAATTGGCATCACCTGTGCATCCCAGAAGTGGTGCAGTATTCAAGCTGGATCTTGTGAGCAACAAAGAGCCCTTCAGATCGCCACCATCCCAGAAAATGCAACCCTTTCTTGCCTCTCCTTCCAGAGCCTGTAGAATCCGTAACAGCGACTTCTGTGGGCTCTCCCTTGGAGAATATATAGCTCTCACGTTCCACTTCAAATCCCTTAAACCTCATCCGAATGCATGGAGATCTGGGTACTTAGGAGGGCTCTGAACTTGCTTGGGATTAGGCTGGAGATCAGCCTGAAAACTCCCTCGCAGCAATTGTGTCCCAGCACATGCATAAGACTGTCTGAGCACTCATCAAGCCTCATATCGATAGATAATATGTGCATCAACAGCTGTGGAAAGTCTTGAATGCATAGCGGCAGTGTGAGCGCTGCAACGGAGCCCACGAAAAGTGTCCGGTTTCTTTTTGCCACCACTGTAAAGAGAAGTACCCGGGGCGGGACTAAGTCTCGCGAGCTTGTTGGGTCGACCAGAGACAGCTGGCTCTTGAACACGCTTGAAGTTGGCACCCTTAAGCTGGGCGAAGGCGTTCTTCAGCCTGACCTCAGCGAGCCTGTCCCCTGCTTCGTCCACAGCTGCCTGCCTCTGCTCGGCCCTCATACTCGCCATCTCCTTAGCTTGACGCACCTGCTCCTCTGCAGCGCGCCTTCGCGCCGTGGCTGCCTCGGCAGCAGCACGCACCCGAGCGAGTTCGGCTTTCAGCCTTTCAGCCTCCTGTTCCGGCTTCTGGGAGTTAGGCTGAGCTGGAGGCGCGACTGACACGACGGCAGCAGGGGTGAACAAAGGAGCTTCGGCGGGTGCCGACTTTGACGGCGATGCAGTGGCAATGCATGCACTAGGCCTCGAGAGCGACTTGGCGGCCGGATTTCTTGGCTGAGTCGCTGTCTGTGGGAGCACGGCAGATGCGAGGACAGGAGCAGGTGGGTGTAGGGGAGTTGCTGCAGCAACGGGGACTGGTCGGGGCGCGGGAGGTGCTGCAACGACCGCAGCACGTTGGATCGCGGGAGTCACCGTGGTGACGGCAGGCGGTTGGATCACGGTACTCGGTGTAGCGACCGGGACAGGGGCGAGCATGGGGGCGGCCGAGTTCTGGTGGGCGGCGGTGGGTGCCGTCAGCTCCGGAGCGGCAGACACTGAAGCCACTTTGGAAGGGGCCGTGACCTCCTCGGTGACCTCCCTGGTGGACGGCGTAGGGCGCGCAGCGGATGCCGGTGCTTTCTCCTGCTCGTTGTCCGGCTTCTGGGAGAGATCACGTACAGCGCCGGCGGTGTTCTCCCCGACACCTTCAGCCGAAGTTGACAATGTCGCTGTCCTCTCTGTGATGTGATCGACGAGGTGGGCGACGAACTTCTTGTCGGTCTTGAACGCAGGCCGGCGAGTGCACTGGGGCAGCGGACAGCGCCTCAGTGCCAGTGCCGTCGCGGTCTTCTGGGAGGTCATCATCTCGGGTTCGACCTCGGTGTGGAAGTGAGGGGACAGGTGCTGGTCGAACACGTGAAGGGCAAGAGCTGTCCCACTCTCCAACTCGCGACCGCCACACGCCTCGGCAGGGCAGCGAAGTTCGGCGGACGCAAGCGTGCCGAAGACGGCTGGAACCTCAACCTTCCAGATGTCGTCAAATCTCTCCACGAATGTGCCGTCCACTTTAACCATGGCCGAGGAACTTGTCGGGTCTATCTCGGCCTCAGTTACCGCTGCTGCAAAGCTTGAGCCATGGATGCGCTTGTTGTGGTCAGCCCATGTCGAGGCGTTGGAGAACCAGGTGTTGAGACAACCGAGGCGGCAGCGGAAGACACACCGCTCGTCGTCGTGGGACCGCATGTGCTCTTGGTAGTCCCACTTTGATTCATAGAGCAGACCGTGACAGGAAGGCAGTGAACATGGAAAGACAACAACGTTCTTCCGGTCGGGGTTCTCGAGACAGATCGCTTCGTGTTGCGTACGCCCATAGTGGGTGAATGGCGCTCGGCAGTAAGTGCAGTTATAAGTTCCCACGCCTGGGGGAAGACGCGGCTGGGCATAGGGCTTCGACTTGTTGTAGACGAGCTATAGTTAGCTTTTTGCGTAAAAGCTGCTTACCTCGTATACTGCGACCTCCTAAGACGCGTATAGGTGCTCCAAGGTTCTTCCACTTGGTGCCTCGGCCTGCGTGAAGGGAGTAGCCGTCTTGGCCCAGTCGTGTGGCGTGTCGTCACCTCCATGGTAAGTGGAGCGCAGCTGGTAGACGGCCTTTGGCTCAGCCAGACGAGACGATTGAAATGTCAGATATGACTTACCTTGCCAGATGCGCTGGGGAGATGAAGCTGCGGCAGCAGTTCCGCTACACCGATGTTTAAGTGGTGAGGGTCAGCAACTTTGAGAACGCAGAAGAGTGGTGGCGGGTCGACCAGAGTGGTGCGCCGAACAGCCACATCCCCGTCGCAGGGCTGCTCCTCGCAGTTGTGTGCGATCCGGTCGACCACGAAAAGTACCGCAGCGTCAGCGAGGGACGGCTGGTCGGGGTTGACAACGATTCTGCGGGTAGCACGCCTGTTTGTTGTTGAGCAACACGAGACGCAGATGATCTCCTCGATGACGTCAACATCGAATCGTGACCGGTCCTTCGGCGAGCCTGGGAGCGAGGACGGCATGGCGTAGTGGTTGACTGTGGTTGTAAGAGTTTACGAAAGTTAGTGAAAGTCAGAGGATGATGGAGAGCTCTGGTGTGCACGGCGAGGAAGGCGGGGGTCATGTGACGGCGAGGACATGCATCGCTAGGAAGGATGGGACGGAGCAGGCTAGCAGCAGGGAAGCCAGGCCGCGGGCTACGGGGAGAAAGGAGGAAGGAGGAAGGCCGTGGGTGAAGGGACGGCAGAGCGCGACTGGGTCTACACGGTGATCAGGGCGAGTTCGCTGGACCGGTACGGGGTCGGGGGATCCAGCCCGGGGCCCTCGCGCTGGCCGCTGGTGGAAGGTCGGGCTTTACGCTGTGCGATGCCTAGGGACTCGTTGATGCCAGCTCTAGTCGCGGTCGGCCGCAGGTACCTGGTTTGGATGATCAGCGTTCAAGTCTCAGGGTATGGGCTGCGCCCCCGCCTGCAGAGGTGACTGGACCCGCAGAGTGTCGCAAACACGCCTGCGCGAGACAGGCAGCAAGGCTGAGGTCAGTGTCCAGCGCATGACGCGCCTGACCTCTGGGGGGTGTGGAGGAAGGCCAGAAACCGACAAGATGCCGTCGCTGTGGTCAGTGTTGGAAACGTAACATCTCTCTCTCTCATCGTCCCCGGCCATGGCCACGCTCAACCAGTTCCTCGAGCTCCAGGAGAAGGTCGCCGAGCTCGAGCGCGAGAATACCAAGCTGAAGAACGAGAAGGCGGCCACTTCCAATGCCCTCCCTGCCGGCACTTCCTCCTCATCCTTCCCCCCCGCCGCCAGCATCTTCCATCCCGCCAACCCTACACCGTCTAACCATTCTGACGAGAAGATGAGGCGCGTCGAGGAGCGTCTTCTTTCTAATCTGTCGCGCTGCACCGCCGCTGCGATGGGAACCGCGTTGTATGCATCGCGCGACGTCGGTAATCGTGCGTGGACGTGCGAGGAGGTGGAATATTACTTCGCATGGAAACGCGGAAGTCTCGGCGATCTGAGCTGCCCCTCGACTCTCGACGACTTTGACGACACGGCGGCAGACGGACGCGACGGCGATGACGAACCCGAGCCGAACCTTGCCGAACTACTTCGTGGCGTCTCGCGCCGGCCTTCACCGTTTGAGGACCCCAAGAACGCAGCGCCGAAGGAGCTGGACCCCTTGGGCAGGAGCACCGTCTACGCATGGTGTCGACCTGAGAGCCTCAGGGCTCCTCGGTCCGAGGCGGAGGTCGAAGCCATCGCGTCGGAGTTCACGACCCTCATGGCAGACGCGCTGCGAGTCTCCGACTTGAATGTTGGCAAGATCGAGCCGTGCATCCGGTCGGGCTCTGGAGCGGCACCAGTGGAGACCTGGCTTTGGCACAGGGGCTGGAAGGACGAGCAGCAACCTCTGCGCAAGGTCAGCTCGATGATGAGCGGACCCGACTGCCACCTGCTCGCCATGCTTGGGCCAACAGGGTTGAGCGCGAACCCGTGGTCGATGTGCAGGATCGCGGAGCGGTTTGCGGAGAAGGGCGGCGCGATCATGAGCATCATGGTGTCCGGAGAAGTTCAGATTGTGTCGGCGAGCGAGGTGCACCGCGCACTGCTCATTCTCATCGACTTCCTCCGCACCTCACTGCTCGACCCGTCAGCTCAGGCCGACACGCTCCCGACAGTCTACCGCGCGAAGGCGCTTGCAGCCGCCATGGGCGCCGCAGCCCGGATCTCTGAGGTCAGCTCGGACGGGCTGGCTCCAGGGGTGGAGTTCGCGAAGCGCCTCGTTCTTTGTTTCTTGGAACGCGTCGCTGAGAGCCACGTCCGCCGTTGGAAGTGGGCGCTGAGCACCGCTCCAGATGGCATCTCGGACGTTAGGCGGTGGCCGGTGGTGATGTCTCCGAAGAATAGATGTAGGTCTGACTCGACGGCAAAAGCTGACATCAGTGTTCTCAATGGCTGCGGCAGGCGAGACGGACGATGTCGACATTGAGGAGGGGTCGGGGCTCGAGTCTGGGACATCCAGCTCCAGGAAGGGAAGTGCGACTCGCTCAGCCCTGTTGGGCTCGGAAACCATTCCCAGTGTTCTCGACGTGGGACTCTCCTTTTGCGAGGGGTGCAAAGTGAGTTGAGCAGGCATTCGCAGCTGACTTGGTAGAAGCTCAAGTACCAGGTATGCCTGAGCGCGGGGCAGACGCTCTGCTGCGCGTGTAACCAGAACCCAGCCCGCAACGAGTGAGTGAAACAGCCGTAGTGCTTGCTGACAGGAAGCCGTGCTGGAGCGAGCGGGTACGAGGAGCCTGTCGGTACAGCGTTCGTGAAACGGAAGTGGAAGGACCGTATCGAGAAGTTCCAGGAGGAACAGGAGAAGAAGAGAGCGAAGCAGGTCTAGGCGACTGCGGTATCACGTAGAACACGAGTGTCGATAGTGTAACAGATAGCTGAGTGTATGACAGCAGGACCGGTGACAGAGTGGTAAGATACTTGGCTGGCCAGATAGTGGGACGCCGCTGAGGCAGGCTCCGAAGAAGCTCAGTTTGAATCGCGCCCTTCCGACTTGATACGCATGGTAAGCGCAACTATCGGACATAAGCTGATTATCCAGGCACGGTTGCATACTGTTGCCGCGACACAACCACCCATATAATTTGGTTCCGTTGGCAGCTCGATTTCGCGGAAGCTTTTTTGTGGTTGCTGCCTGGCAGTCCGGTGTGGTGACCAGGTTAACGCATCTCGATCCACTCTTACCTCTCGAACGACAACTGCAAAGTGAGTGGGGCCATAGGAGGTACATTGGGCTCGACGAACACGACGCAACGACGCTCGACGACAACGACGGCACGACCAGCGACAAACGCGCTTTCGGTCGACTTTGGAGAAGACGGAATCAGCTGGAGAAAGAAATTTGATCACCTAGTTTCCACACGAACTTCGATCACTTGCACTCATCGCAACGGCGTCTTCGACTCGACCCAGTGTACCTCTCGACACCGGGCTGGACTAGGAGCAGCAACTGACAGGCAGAATGGGTATCTCGAGGGACTCCCGCCACAAGCGCAGCGCCTCTGGTGCCCGCCGTGCGCACTACCGCAAGAAGAGAAAATTCGAGCTCGGCCGTCAGGCTGCTATGACCAAGCTCGACACCACCAAGCGCATCCACACCGTCCGCACCCGTGGTGGCAACGTCAAGTACCGTGCTATCCGTCTTGACACCGGCAACTTCTCTTGGGGATACGAGGCTACTACCCGCAAGACTCGTCTCCTGAACGTCGTGAGTAGGGATTGAGGGAAAGGAAGGACCAGGCTGGACAAGGATCGCGCGAGCGAAATCGAGGAGAAGGCCGGGAGCGACGAGTGGAACGAGCAGAGGAGCGATGTCGGAGATGGTGCGACTGGTGGAGGGGATGCGCGTGCGACCGAAAATTCTGCCTGGCTTTCCTTTTCATGTTCACACGAGGAAGGACATCACTGACCACTCCAGCGCTACAACTCGACCAACAACGAGCTCCTCCGTACCCAGACCCTCGTCAAGTCGGCCGTCGTTGAGGTTGACGCCACCCCCTTCCGTCAGTGGTACGAGGCCCACTACGCCCAGCCCGTCACCAAGAAGGGCCAGGCTGAGGCCCCCGCCGACGAGGGCAAGAAGTCGAACCACGTCCAGCGCATCCTTGCCGAGCGCAAGAAGGACGCCAAGATCGACAACCACCTCGAGCAGCAGTTCCGTACCGGTCGTCTCCTCGCCATGATCACCTCGCGTCCTGGCCAGTCCGGCCGCGCCGACGGTTACATTCTTGAGGGCAAGGAGCTCGACTTCTACCTCAAGAAGCTCCAGACCCGCAAGCAGAAGCACGCCGCCTAAGTGCGGAGTGTAGGGGCTGTTTGTACGAGATGGATGGATTCATTTACATACTAGAGCAGAGCAGGGAGCACTTCTGCACAAGACTGACGAGCAGCTCGATTGCATGCCTCTGTTCCTCTCAGTGCGACGCGCACAGCGCATAGCGCGACGTGCAGCTGTGAGTCTCTACCACTTCAGGGTGGTTAGCGGTGTGCCCTCATAGGCCCTGGTGGAGGCAGTTTCGACGGAAGAAAATGGGTGGAGTGGCACCCCGTATCCTGTGGCTGCGAGTTTCTCGCACTGCATCATGACAGCATCATGACATGCTTACAACAGACTGCACGACGACGGAGGAGGGAAAGCGTCTCGGAGGACGGCACATGTGTGGACGGACAAGTCAACTGAACGCACCTAGTTTGGTGGACTAAGTCGCAGGAACGACAGACGGGCCCACTAGTGATGCTGGTTCGAAGGCACCGGAGGGGCGACTCCGCGGGCGCTCGGTACTTCGGCGGCATGAGTCCGCAGTCAGTCCGTGTTACTAACCTCCTGACCAGCTGATCAACGGACTTGCAAGCTCTGCCGAGCTCACCAGGGCGAGACACGGACATCCGTCGCAACTGGATGCGCCGTCTGTTTAGACCGCTGGTGTCGTCTCATGTCATCAGCCGTCGGTACCGGTCACAGTAGCGGTGGGCAGGTGATGAAGAGTCCGAGTCTCAGCCTTGGCACTCGGCGTAGTCGGTGCGCAGGTCTTTGCGAACCGCACGGCTTGGTGACTTTCCTGCACACGGGTGGAACGTGGGCTATCTCGGAGCAGTGACGGGGCAAAGACGGAGCAGACTGCACGCCCGGCGCAGTGAGGAGGGCCCGAGAAGCGGAGATGCTGGATGGTTCTGCCAGCAGCTTGGGAGCTCGAATTCTCTGCAGTGAGCTTGGTGGGCTATCAGAAGCCGTCCAGGTCGTCACGGAGCAGCGCCGGAGCAGCTGAAGCGCCCAGTCTATGTCGTGGGCCCGAGAAGAGAGGATGCACAGTGTGTTTGCGCCGACTGCTTGGCGGTTTGCGATTGCAACAGGGCGGTCAGGTAGGTGACTAGTGGTTTGCGATCGCGAGGGGCACACCGGTTCTGATGAATGAGGGCGATGAATGTGGGGAGGGTGTTTGTCCTCAATCTGAAGTGAGCGAAGCGTCGTCCGATGACAACTGTCCACGCAGGGTGTCGATGCCAAGAATCCTTGCTGCTGAGGCATTTGACAGAGCCTCCGAGCCCGACTGCATGGGACAGCCGCGAGTTCGGCATTTATCGACATGCACAGTAGCGTGACGGCGCCGCCCTCGTCGGTATTCCGTCTTCTCCTTGTCCTCCGAGTGACGGAAAGACGCTCCGATATATCGGTCCGCATGCCGTCCCTCCCAAAATCCGCATTCCGTCGTATCCAGCGGAACCAAGGTCGAGCCAAGGCCAAGCCGCAAGTGACGTCGTGCTCATCGCAGAACAGGTCCCAGATCTGTGTGCACTGCGCCCGGGAACCGGCTGCCGGCACGTTGTCGCCTCGATCACCCTCTCCCTCGACGACTCGCGACTGGCGCGACTGGACACCTTGTTGCACTCGGGCCCGTCGCCTGACGGACCCGCCATGCGCCATGGGATGACGACGCGCCAGGACAGATCCCGAGAGACTCCACCCTTCCTTGTCTCGTTTATGTGGTTCTGGCGTCGTCACCCCTTGTCGCTCGCCGCTCCCAATATCTGCATCAGTGTCAACCAGCGTTGCCCAGCACCGTTCAGTGCGCCCAGTGTCGGCCAGACCCAGACCCAGACGCACACAGCACACATTGTCCTGGAGCTCGGACCGCTGTCGCACCCCGCACCGAAGTGCCGTCGGGAGTTGGAGCATGGAGATTGATTGCGATCGCCCGATGCGCGCGTTACACCATCGCACCACCTGCTCCACGCCTTCACCCTAGCGCACCCTTGTCCCCTGCCTCCTGGTTCGCCCTTTATCTCCGTCGCAGCCCATGCACTCCGTTCATTGTGCAAGCCTAGCATGCTCACTTCGGCCTCGAGCATGATCATACCACAGTTCAACAGATTGTTAGGTTGGTGTCACGACTGCGTTCGGGGTACGGGATGAACAATGAGGCAGAACCAGTCGACCGAGTACAACAACCTACTCGGAGCAATGGACAATGACAGATGCCAAGGAGGCCCAAGGACAGCGGCCCAAGACAGTGCCCTCGCCCAATGAGAGAGGTCATCCTTATCGCCCATTTCACACCGGTGTGACAGTGAGGTGCTTGTGATCCCATGATCTCAGTATGCTCCTACGCACCGCGAGAAACCAAAAGACTGCGTCCTCTGCTGCCAGGCCATCACTGATCACTGAAGGGATGCAGGCGGGAGAGCGAAGGGCAGGCCGGCGGCTGCGGCATAGTGGATCTTGGCCAGACGGGCCGGCCAACGGCTGGACCAGGGGCGGTGGCCGCGTGTTGTGGTGTGGTTTTGTGTGTCGGTGCTCCCGACACTACCTCGGCACACCGCGCCCTGCACGCTGTCTTCGATCGTGTCGAGGTGCGAGGCGCGTCCCTGGGGATGGGGGCCGCGGTGCGTCTGTTCGGCCCGGCGACAAGCCGCGCTCCACAGTTGAACCGTGCGTGTGACCTCGCCTCATGCACTGGGCACTCACAAGCGCCTGGCGCCTGGGGTCCTTTGGGTCTCGCGCATGCAACGTGTTTGGTCCGCCTTGTTCTGTCGTTTTCGAATGAGTGCGAGCTAGCCGAGCGAATCGCATTCGAAAGGGACGGCCCAATTTCGCTCATTTTCCCGTATTATTCGCTGCATTTCTGAGTCGCAAGCTGCCACAGGACCAAGTTTGAGGTAGGATGGACGTCAAGACGATGCATGATGGTCTGCAGAGCATGAAGAGCAGCTCAGCAGGAGGTTTGTACCGCGCTGCGGCTCGTCAACCCCGGCTCTGCATGCGAGACTTGCGTCCTGTGCGCCTGTGCCCCCGTTCAGCTGCGAAGTGCGCAGGAATACCTCCGCCGTCTTACGCCCCTCGAGACGTGACGCTGATTGATCCGCGCCCTCTCTTTCGCATCTTGGCTTCTTTCCTGGATCTGGTCATGCATCGTGCTGAATAAACATTTGGGAATTGGATTGCGCTGTCGAAGAGAGCTCGCAGCCCGCAGCTGACGGCGTCTGATCCTATCGCCGTAATCTCTTCGATCACGTCCGAGACCGAAATCGCAGCTGACCGGTGATTGAGGCGGAGTGGGAACGCCGAACGCCCAAACGCCCGACTCCGTTGCCCTCTGACCCGACAATGGCGCTGCCCCAGCGACACCTGATCACCCTGAATGCTTGAAGGGGCTAGCCTGGGCTGGCCTGGTGTGATTGCTGCGGATCGCCGCACGGCGACAAGGGCAGGAGCGGCCCCAGCGAGGATCCGGATCTGCGGACCGTCTCTGACGACCTTTGGTCTTTGAGCGCTGAGCCCTTTATGCCTCGTTTTCTGCCCTTTGTATCTGTTTCGGGCGCAAGATCGGACAGCAGGAGGGCAGGAGAATAACACGCCGGACTCGAGTCTCCGGATGCCGGGCTGGCGCCTCGCGGCAGCGGCAGGCGACAAAGCGAGGTCGACGAGGGAGTGATCGCCGAGCCCCTTGGCGTCGCTCTTCCTGAACTCCTTTAGAGCATTCTTCTTCAACCACCCCTACCCCATAACATTGCCCGGCGAGCGAGGAGAGACTGCGCCCTCAGCTGTCACCCCTTGAGGACTCGGTCTCGCCTCTTGCCCTCCTCCGCACCCCGCACAATGCACCGCACAGCGCACGCCAGCGTGAGCGAGAACGCAAGCCATGCGGAGTGCGCTGATCGCTGAGCCCGCCGATCGAGAATCACCGTCCGCGTGCGCTGTGCGCTGCAGTGCTACCCGCCTATTCCCTATCTCCTCTGGTCTTCCGGGTTGACTGAGCAGCCGGGCATCTGCCCATCGGAGCAGAGGGCGCAACCTCGCGTCGTATGCGCTCGCCCCCTGCACTCGCGAAGAGAATAAGGGACGCAGCACAACAACAAGCATGACTGAGTGACTCAACCGCGGCAGAGAGATAGGTGAGGCAGCTGAGGCAGGCGCTGCACGGCACACGCTCTTCGCGAGCTGAACTCGCGACACACAAAAGACAAGAGGCCGGCCCTGTGCCGCTGGCGGAACACCTTCTTTCCTTCTGACATCGCACACAGCACACATACACACACCCCTTTCGCTCCCTCAGTCATCTGCAGGCTCCGCTCACCAGTCTCTTATTCAGGCGCTGGGAAGAAAGCGGTCTCAGCCGGTCGCAACGCCCTTCCAAGCATATAAAGACACCGGTATCGATCAAGCTACGTACGTCTCTTCATCCTCATTTCGAGTTGATCTCGACCTGACCCTCCCGATCTCCCCTCGTAGTACGGTTTACAGTACCGCATCCCCTTCTTCCCCCCTCACTCCGATCTTAACGAGACTCCTACTCAGACGTCTCTCTGACAATTATCAGACTTAGTCACCTGCCCCTTCTCACCTATCGGCACTCACCTCGCACCCTCTCCACGTGATACCTCAAGGACACTTGCGCGCTCGACGCCGTTCCTTCAACACTCCAAACACGATGACCAACATCCCCCTCGTCCAGCCCCTCGACCTCACCCGCTTCACCCACTACCAGTTGCCCGAGAGCAACGACCGCAGCTACCGTTCTACGCCCCAGCGCAGTTCCGGCAGCGGTGCTAGCGGCGGTAGTGGCAGCGGCAGCGGCAGTGGCGGTAGCGCAACCCCGGAGGGCACGCCACAGACGGCGCATACAACGCAGACCTTCGGGTTCTCTCCGTCTGACAGTCCGCTCAGCCCCGCCCCGCCCCACAGTGCGCCCCACTCTGCTCCGCCCACGACCGAGCACCATCAGCAGCACCAGCAACACCAAGCCCAGCACCAGCTCCTCAGCGGACAGAACATCCAGGTCCACTCTCACCTCACCGCACCTGGCCCTGGCGGGCAGGCAGGTCCCGGCGGACCTGGTGGCGGCCCTGGTGGCCACCAGCAGCTCATCAAGATGAACTCACCCCGCGAGCCGAACACGTACTGGGACTCGTCAATGCGTCCTCCTCCCCGCGATCTTGCGTTCCAGCCCCAGCAGCCCTATCCCATGTACCGCGAGTACTATGACAACTATTCTCCCTATTCTCAGTACCCAATGGCCCAGCAGAACGACCAGGCGGAGGAGCGTCGCAGGCGCGAGCTGCAGAAGGCGCGTCGTCATGTCTGGTGAGTTGATGGTGTTCACCGAGCTGCGTCTCTCATCTTCGCCCATGGCAACGGCAAGCTAACATCCAGCCCGGTCTGTGACAAGCGCTTCAACCGTCCCTCTAGCCTGAACACGCACATGTCGGTGCACACAGGAGCGAAACGTGAGCTTACACAGCCACCTCCTAGCTAACGGCAGCCTACCAATGCCAACGCGAAGGCTGTGGTCGCCGCTTCAGTGTTTCGTCCAACTTGCGTCGCCACGAGAGGGTGAGCCAAGCAGACTTCATCGTCGAGCTAACAGACAGACCCACGACCAGCGCGCACGCACGATGAAGCCCCAGCGTGTCGTCTACCCCTACTACTCCTACGTGCCTCAAGTCGAGTACAGTTTGCCCCGCGAGTACCGCCCTCGCGAGATGGGTCTCGGTCACGGCCACCCCGCGCACCCTCAGCACGTCGCCATGCCCGCTCCCCAGCAGCCCGAGGAGCAGGAGGACCAGAAGCCCATCATCATGCCTCAGCCCTCGAAGCCTAACGTGCTCCTTCACTCCTGAGCCACCACCTCTCGCTCACGGCTGTTGCTTGCTGTCGCTGCAACTACCAAGTCCCAACGCACACTGCACATTGCACATCGCCTCAAGTTCCAATCTAAATCAAAATCAAACTCACATCTGGATCTATCCGCCTCACAAGCTATGTGTAGCCTCAACCACGCCTGCCCAGCAACCACACTCCCTGTCCTTAGAAGCGAACGCTTAGCCCGGCTCAGAACCGACATTCCATGAACTCATACGACTTCTTCCTAGCTGTACACATACGACTTTTGGTTCCTCGTCACATCTTCTCCCGTCCGTAAGCAGTAGAAAGGGAATAACGATGCCATGCCAACCTGTATCTACCGCTCGGCGCTCCACCTGCTGTAACTTCACGACCTACGTCGTCGATCGGTGGTGACTTGCTGCAGCAATCGACGGCGTATTTTCGGCACTCACCACTGGCTCATGAATGGACGCCACTGCGCCACTGGACTCGCTGGGCCAGTCAGATGACGGTGGAGGTCAGCGAAACGGCTTTTGGTTCCGCTGTTTTCATCTCGATCGCGGCCGCACCGCCTGAAACGCTTGTTTACGAGTTGCGGCGAGAGGAGAAAGTTACTAACTACTACCACCACTGCCTCGCAACCTCCGCACGCAAGCAGCGACTGATCGGCTTGGAACCGTCTCCTGCCCCACACTTGTACACGTCACTTGCTCATCTCAGCTTGCCGGAGCGACGACGGACCGACCTCCAACTTCCAACTTTACCTCCACTCTTTTCGACGCCTACCTCCACCTCGGTCCCGAGTAATCCGACGCGATGGGTGTCTGGTCGCAGATCTTCTTCGGTCTGCTTAAGATCTTCTGTGGCGGTGACCAGAAGCAGCACGGTGGACAGCAGCACGGCGGTCACCAGCAACAGGGCGGCTGGAACCAGGGCGGCCAGCAGGGCGGATGGAACCAGAACCAGCAGCAGCAGTACCCGCCGCAAGGCTGGAACCAAGGCGGCCAGCAGCAGGGCGGTTGGACTGGGGGTGCGATCAGCTCTCAGCACGACTACACGCAACTGCGAAACCAGGCCCGGCACGAGGGTGACCTCGCGCACAAATGCTTCGCCGACAGCCAAGCTGCGTACAAGTCGGGCAATGGAGCGCGTGCCAAGGAGCTCTCGAACCAGGGCAAGGCGCACCAAGCCAAGCAGGACCAGATGGACGACCAGGCTGCCGCTTGGATCTTCCAGGGTGAGTTGCATTTCTCCGCGCTCCGTGGGGCGGCAGCGAGAGCTTGCGAGGTATTCCTCCGGCTTGGCTGCGTCGTGAGCACGCCTCCGATCATCGGATTGTGGGAGGGGAGGGCGAGAGGGCGTGCGGCTGCATGCGGACGGTACACCCGCTGCTCGTGCGACCGTGTATCCTGCACGCAGGCGAGAGAGCGTGCGTCTCATGAACACCCGGACGATGTTTCGGACGAGCTGGCCACAGAGTTGTGGGGCAGCGCTTGGCATCGTCGAGCCCGTGCGCCCCGCACGAGCCGCACGCCTCACCCTTTGTCTTCCTCTTCAGTCCGGCGGTGCGAGAGGCCAGGTTCCGAGGCCCCAGGTCGTCCGAGCCATTGAAGAACAAGCATTCGCTGACGTGATGCAGAGAACAATTCGCGCCAGCCGCCGGGAACCATCGACCTGCACGGCCTGTACGTAAAGGAGGCGATCGAGGAGGTCGACAAGGCGATCGCGGCCGGCCAGCGTAATGGACTCCAGGAGCTGCGCGTTATCACGGGCAAGGGTATCCACAGCCAGAACCACCAGGCCAAGATTAAGCCCGCCGTCGCCGACCTGATGCGCAAGTACAACCTCTCCGCCGAGGTTGACCGCCACAACACGGGTGTCATGGTTGTCGACCTCACTGGCCGAACGGGCGGTAACCGCTCGCGCGACGCTGGCGGCCTCGTCGACCAGATGGGCGGCGACAAGGACTGCATCATCATGTAGTGTTCCCGTTTTTTACCCTCAACCTCATACCCTCTCTCCTTTTCGATATTCATAGCTCATACTGCGCACCATTGCTGTGCTCATACCCCTAACGCTATCTGTAGACTGTACTTTTTGGGCCCGTCGCCACCAGATAATGCCACCTTAGATACACGCGATATGCCACTGCGCTCGCATTCGCTGCCCCCACTGTTGCGTGCTGCGACCTGCTTGCTCCATGGTGGTGGCATTATCAGTATCAGTTATCCTGCCATAAGTCCTGGCAAGGTGGCAGGTTATAGACGGCCGGCGGCCAGCGGCAGGGAGCCTGGCATTGGGGCAGGCCGGGCAGGGGAAGGCTGGCACGAGGCGGCAATCGTCGGGGCTCCAGGGCTTTGCTGGGCGGTTGCTGGCTGCAGTTGGCTGCAGTTGGGTGCAATGACGGCGCATCGCGAGCACATGCACGACGCAGAGGCACGGAAGCAGGCACGGCCCTGGCAGCGCAGGGTCAGCGCAGGAGCATCGCAGGGAGGCCATAGGGAAGCTCGACACGGAACTCCGCGGAGCAGGGCTTCGGGAGAAGTCGGACTTTGCGCTCTGCCTATTGCGATGATTAGCCAGTGAGCGGCGGCCGGTAAAGACGCGGCTTTGTTTGAAGCGCTCGGTTAATACCCCCTTTCTCCAGGCTCATTAGAGTTTGTTTGTGCGGCGTACTCGCTACTCGCGATGTTTGCTCGCGCAATCTGGCGCACCGGCGCACGAATGCGGCGCATACGGCGCATTGTTTTGGGCTTGGCTCACTGGCTCGTTGGCCACCCAGCCTACGGTGAGCGGGATTCGGCCGCGTCTGCCGCACGAATGCACTACCGCTCGGCCTCCACCTGATCTACCGATGTCCAGGATGCATCAGGACGGACCGCGTTCGCCCCAGTTGTTCGATGACCCTCATGCACGTCAGAAGACTAAGCGACTAGGCAGGGGTGGCGGTGTCACCTGCCTCTTTGGAGTGCAGGGTGGCCAGACTTGAGCAGACCATTGCTTACGATCGCATACGGGTTCTTGTGGTGGAGAGGATGGTCATCTGATCCGATGAAGGGATGCAACGGCCGTCGGGCCTCGGTTGTATTCCAGCGAGCCTTACGCGTCCGATGACTGCGTTCCTTGTAACTTGGACCTGGATGATGATGTCTCTGAATGGCGATAGGGCAACTCTGAGTCAAATGGGCAATTAGAACGAGACGGCGGCGACACACCCGGTGCAAATTGGACATTACAAACGATGTGTAAGCGGAGTAAGGTTTCCGCTTCATTAGACACCAGGGTAAAGGCTTGCCAAAAGGGCCGGCGGTGGGGGGCTATTGCCGGATCGGGTAACGCGCACCTGGCATGCAGGCCAGCCAACGACTGGCAGACTGTGGCTCCCAGGCGCCTAGGCAGGCAGAGTTCGCCCGCCTTTCGCCGCCTGGACACCAGGTGATGGCCGATACGCCTCCGCCTAGGCTGTACTCTACGACCTACCTCGTGCTCTCTCGGCTTAGTCTCCCAGCCCCTGTAGCTCCCTCCCTCCGCCCGCACGCCCGTCCATCCTTCCTACTGTCCAGCAACCAGCGAGCGAGCGGCCCCCTCGCCAACATTCATCTCTCGTTCCTCATCATCATCCCTTACAACTCCATTACTCCCCATCCACTCATCCACCTCACAGCCTACTCACACCACACAGCGCCCTCTCACCCACCAGCACCGAGCCCCGCCCCGCCTTCGGGTCCCTCCCCCTTCCTCCGCCTCGCCTTCTCCGCCTCCCCTCTTCGCCCACGCCTCTCCACCCGACGACGAAGGAGGAGCGCACCACCCACCCATCCCTGCTGATTCATTACTGCTTTTTCGGTTTTGTCCACCACTCCACCGCGCACCGCGTCGCCTCAGCGCCTCCGCACAGCCTCCAACACACATCCGCTGCTGTACCCCACCTCCGCATCGTCCGGTGCTTGTCTCAGCGAACAGAGCACTCCGCTGCTTAGCCATCTCACCATGGCCCAAATCATTCCCTCCATCGTAAGTGCAAGTTCGCAATTCGGTTACCCCGCAACCAAGTCTTCGGCGCCCGCACCCCCATCTTAGCCGATTGATTCCTCCCGTAGATCTGAAATCGTCCATCCACATCCGTCCGCGCATGAAGTCACGGTCACTAACCACCATAACAGACCTCGCTTCCGTCCGACTCGGGCGCTGCCCCCTCCGTCGAGGACATCCAGGACCACCTTCCCTCCATCTGTGTCGACTACCTGTCACATAACTGGACCGAGGAGGATGTCTGGGCATCATGGCGCAACATGACTCGCCACAAGCACGAGATCGCCAACGGTGTTCGTCTCGAGAACGCTTCCTGGCGCACCTGGCAGAAGCAGCGCAACAAGCTGCGTACCATCTCTCCCGAGACTCTCAACTGGTTAGTAATCTCCTGAACTCTCTCCCCTGCCGTGCCTCCACCTTTTGCCGCGTACCGTTCGAAACGTGCGTGTGTGAGGCTGTGAGGCGGCCAAGCGTGTGTGTATCGTTTCCACGGAGGAATAAGCGAGTCGTTGCCTCCGGTGGCCAACTCCCGACCATCCCCGCTGTGTTCCGTGTCCCAGTGTTCCATATGTGCTGTGCTTGTGTTACTCATCACCGTCACCGTCGTGCCGCATGTCCCTTTGCGTGCATGACCCGATGCAGCGATAGCTGACACGCAATTAGGCTCAAGGATTCCGACGTCACCTGGCTCTACGGACCGCTGCACACCGCCAACGTGCAGTCTGTCCCGGCCCCCAAGCTCCCCTCGGCTGCCGACAGGCTCGGCATTGAGAATGGATCCGCCAAGCCGGGTATCCTGAAGCACCGTACTTTGTCAGAGCTCCTCTCCATTCCGGGATCTTCTTCCCCAACCCAGGAGGAGGATGACGACAGTGGACCGTCCGACTATGTGACTGCGACGGGGAAGAGCAAGGGCAACAAGAAGCCCGCGCTCATGAAAACCAAGTCGGACTCGCTGCTGTCGCGAAGCAACTCGCTTCCCGCCCGCCGCCGAGCGCCGCCTGACCTGTCGCTCGCAAACGACACGAAGAACAAGAGCAAGAAGGAGACGTCGCCCGAGAACACCAAGGACTCGGGAAAGCGTCACATCACGTTTAACACATTCGTCGAGCAGTGCATCGCTCTGGATGACCCTATTGTGACCCGCGACGACTCGGACGAGGAGGACATGCTGGAGATGAAGACGTCGCTGTCGCGGTATTCTAGCCGTTCCTCGTCTGGCCAGTCGGGTTCTTCGCAGACCATCCAGAAGATCCCGCCCACCATGCTCAAGACTCTCGGATCATATACCAACAACCCGTCCCTGCCGAGGATGGTGTATATGCCTCCTCTCGAGTATCGATCACCTGGTGTCGAGGAGACCCCCGTCACCTCGCCCATGGGCATCCCCTCGCCCCGAGTCGCCATGGCCGCCCGTCAGTGGAACAGCAACCCTGCTGCTGCCCAGATCGATGAGGACTTCCACACCGGCGACGACTACTTTGGAGGTCCTGACCTCACCGCCGGCCAGAGCCCCGCTAAGAGCGGTGTCAGCCCTGCCGCTGCTGGTCCGTACGGCCGCAGCCCTGTCGTCCAGCAGCCGCCTGCCCAGCCCAAGTGGCGGGCAGGCCAGGACAACTCGGCCCAGGCTTCGTCGAACTCGTCTTCCACTTCTTCCCTCAACGGCCTTGGCTCGCCCAGCCCTGGTCGTGGTATCCTCAAGGTCCGATCGCCTCAGCCGCCCAGCGCCGATACTGGCAGCCCGGACCAGCTCTCTCCCCCCGTCTCGTTCAACTACAACCCGTCCGTTGCCACTGGATTTGGAGGATTGTACGGTAGCTATGACGGCAGCCCTGCTCAGATCCCGTTCAACGGCGCCCAGTCGAGCGAGCCCGAGGCCCGCGGCCGATCGACGTCTCGGGGATCGGGATCGTCGCAGTATGACCGATCGACCGCTTCGCGCAACAGCTCGTCGAGCTCGATTGGCAGCTCGATTGGCTCCGTGTCCCGCTCGCCTGGCGACAACGCGGCGGCCCCGGCTGCGATCCCCAAGCCTGTCCGTCCCGTGAACCCGGCCCTGGACAAGGTCCAGGAGGGCTCCGAGTGGCGACCAGCGCCGGCGTCGTCTACGCAGGAGCCGATGGACGTGGACTACTCGCCCGAGCGGTCGACGACCCCGACGCCCCACTCCTCGCCGCAAGTAAGTCTTGCGAGGAAGCAGCAGCAGCATTAGACCAGCAGCTGCGCACCCGCTCGGACTCGGTTGGCCTGGATTGCATCTGACTGACGCAGAACTAGATTGTTTTGCGGCCCCTCAAAGACACTTCGCCAGCCTCCCTCCCCCACACCTCAACTCGGAATGCAGTCCCCTCCCATCCTCCAACAAAGTCACCGGCGGCACCGGACTTGAGCGCGGAAATGCAGATCGACTCTGCATCCACCGTCCCCATGTCGGCCCCGACAGGAAGGCGGTCCCCGGCCACCGTTGCGTCCACCGGGGCGCACGCAGAGCCGACCCTCTCCCAGCCCGTTGATGACGACGACGGATCAACCCTGATCGGCCGCGCGACCAGGACCTGCTCGGCGCGCTGTGGTACGGCGCGCACGACGAGCAGCGAACGTCCCAGCCCGACCGGCGAAACCATCGACGCGGCGGATCCTTAGGCTAATCCCATTCCCTCTCGCCTCAATCTCCTCCCTCCTTCCTCTCACGCATCGCATCCTGCATTCCGAGCATCCAGCATCATCACATCCGTTGCATCCAATCAGCGAAGTCGTCTCAACAGTCAACAACAACCAGTGTAACTTTTCGTCTTCTCCGTCCTCCTCTTTTTTTCCATCAATTCTCAACCTCAACCGGAGCCCATCGGGGTCTCCGACGAACATGAACATCAGCAGTGCCACAGTGCCAGTCGCGTCGTCGCCGTGTACAAAACCTACATACTACGATACACACTATAACTTTCTGTCCCTTGCATCGCGCGGAAGGAAGAGAGAAGGCAGAGAAGAAGTTGATTTCTTAGTTCGGCCACCCCGCCCGGTGGCCCATTTCTTCTATCATAAGCAAAGGAATTATGCATGTACGTTTGAAGATGACGAGGAGGGGCGACTGACTGACTGACGGCTGACGTCTGGTGGGCTGCAACTGCTGACGATGATGCGGGCTGACGAGAAGCTGGAGGATGCTGTGGAATAGAAAGGCGGATGAGATGGAGCTTGCTTATGAACTGGCATATTGCTTGCTTGTATCCCTCGCCGCCTGTCCCCACTAGGACCGCAAGAACCAGAGCAGGGAGCCGCGATGTCGATACGTGAGCAGGACGTCTCGACGCCACGACCTCGCCCCTCCTGTTCCTCGTTACCGGCGTTCGCTGCGAACGAAAGCCCATTCCGAGACTGCGGAGATAAGCAAGATACAGTGGGAGAACGTGAGAGAGAGGCACCGGGCCATGCCGCGCCTTCCTTTTGCCACAGCCTAGACTCTTTCCTCGACTCCTGGGCGATCCGCAGCAACGTCCATGCGTCACGCAAAGCGACTAGGCGACTATGCGGAGCATCTCACCCCACAGAGCCCCACAGAGGCGGAATAGAACGCTATGCACGATAATGAAGGCACGGAAGGAATTCTCGCAGATGAGTTGGGATGAAGTGTAATGAAGTACGACGACGCGGTGCGCCGCGGTATAGGCACGGCCGATGTTGCAAGGCGACGCCTGCAAGCCTGACGACGGCCGGTGCTGGTCCCGCTGTTTTCCACGCGTACCCAGATTCTGGCAGCTGACCACGAGTGTGTCGGTGAAGTTGCTTGCGTCACTTCTGGGCGACCCGAGAGAAGGGATGGGATCTGATTCCAGAACTGCGGATACAGTGAGAAACAATGGTAGAGGTGGGAACTTGGGTCCGCCGAAGGTTGATGGAACCGAAGTTGGTGTGAGTGTGGCGCCACACCTGTCCTTCACCACTGCAATTGCAAGTCTCCCATGATCATGTCTTCATTGCTTCTAGCTCAATGACATCGTTCCTCAAGCTCTTTCCCGTATTCGAGAAGAGTCAGTGCCTCACGTTCGGAGCAGACACCGAGTCGGGACTGAACTCGGCCCCGCTGGTCGCTGCGGATCGCAAGGGTGCCATTCGGCGTCCTCTCCGCACAGCCCGTCGCCATGTTCTGTGGCGGGTTCCTGTATCGTTATCGGAGATCATCGAAAGCCTTCAGAGAAGTCAGCCACTGGCGCTCCATGACACCGATGGCTCTTGGGCCCTTACACCTCCGTGAACGGTCGTGAGACCTCCAACGGACGAGACGTCATGCGGTACGCTCCCCGTCTTCGATCTCATGTCCGGCATATCGCGTACCTCCCTGCCCGTCTTATCCGCAGCGGGAGGCACCGGGTTGTGCGATTGCCGAGAGAGCGACGACCCCGAGGACCAAATACCACCGACTCGATTGATGGCCCTCTGTCGAGTCTGGAGAAGCAATACCTCGACCAGGCCTACCCCGAGCACAAACACATGCGAGGCGATGCCGCTCTGCAAGGTATATAAAGCAGCCCCTCCCTCTCTCCAAACCTCTCACGTCAACGCATCTAACCTCAATCAGAACAAACAGCAACACACCAACACAATGCTCGCTCTCCCCCTCCTCTCCTCCCTCTCTACCATCTCCGCCGTGGCCGCGGCGCCGACCATCCTCCGCTCCCAGCTGCAGGTCTACCCCGGCGGCCGCTGCCTCGACAACCCCCACGGCGAGCTGTACGAGGGCCACCTCGTGCAGTGGTGGGACTGCGCCGGCATCGACCCCAACCGCCAGGGCCTCGCGAACCCGAACCAGGGCTGGAGGCCCGATGGCCAGAAGTGGCGATACATCGCTGACGAGAACTGGTGTCTTGGCTGTAAGTTGAAGTTGCGCTTTGGGACCCCCGTCTCCTGCTCCTCTCTCCATTGCTCGGGAGCTACAGGGAGTGGGGAACGAGACTTGGGGTCATTACTCGCTCCCGCTTAGCTCCCGCTTCGCGCTTCGCGCTCGCCCGCTCACACACACACACAGTCGCCACGAATGGCTTCGCCGTCATGGCCCGCTGCGAGGGCTACGGCCCCGACGTGAGGAGCACCGACTGGGTGCACGCGGGCGACATTGGGCGTCTCTGCTCGCAGTGGAACATTGACTATTGCCTCCTCGACAATGACGACAGGAACGGCGAGTACGCCGTCGTCTGGGACGACTTGGGCAGGCAGGCCAGCATCCAGTTCAACGAGGAGGGCTTTGACTCTCTGTGATGTCGATTGCAGCGCTCAGCAGTCAATAGTAAAGCAGCCCATGTAGTTGAAGAGGCGCAATGTTGATGCAAGATGAACCAATATACATACATGAGCTCGTCTACAAATGTGCTCTAGGCGTGGCCTCCCGCCAGTCGTCCCCATCCCACGAGCTCTACGCCCATGCCCTCCCCGCCTCCGGCACGGAAGAATGCGACAATCTCGAACGCGGCCAGCGCACTGCGCATCTTGTTGAAGCGCGCGCTCTGCCCCTGCGGGCCCGCCGGCTGCAGCAGTCCGAGGCGGATGCACTGCTGCCAAGCGAGCTTCAGGATATCCATGGTCCATCTAGTGCGGCCGACACCGACGAGACGCACGCGCGCAAACTTCTCGTACTCGGCGTGCAGTTGCGCGAAGGTGAACTCGGGCCGTCCGGTGTAGAGCATGTGCTTCGCGATGATGAGCACGGTCAGCGCGGGGTGAGGAAGAGACCGCAGCTTCGCGAGAGCGCCGGACGAGCCCGCACCCATCGGCGCGTTCTTGGAGGGCGTGGCGGGTACCCCATAGTTGGCCGTCGAGGGCGTGCGTGGGGTGCCCGGAGTCATTGGGGCGGAGGACGAGGGTGTATTAGGAACGGAGGAGGCGGCCGAGGACGGTGTCGGCGGCGGGATTCGGCGCTGTGTGCCGCCTAACGACCAGCCACTCTGCTCCACCTGATTCCGGATGCTGGACAGGATCTCAGGAACGGCGAGGAAGTCTGCCCTGCTCGCCAGAATGCCGCAGACGGGGGTGACGAATGGGCGGAAGAGCAGACGCACATCGGTCGTCAGATTTGAAAGACGGTCGAGCGCGGCCACCACCTCCTCGTTCTCGAGCAGCATGCCGACGGCGAACTCCCAGTCCTCCTTCCAGGCCGCAAACTCCTGCTCCTGCGCCGTCTGCTTCTTTGGCGCGGGCTCGTCTGAGTCCAGCCACGGCACGAGTGCTTTCATGAGCACCGGCCGCCATGTCGGCTCCTTCTTCCCCTCCTCGTCGCCCTCGAGCGTCGGGTTTGGCATGCGCGCCAGGGGCGACTCAACGCGCCAGACACGGTGTGAGAAACGTGACTTGACACGCTTCTCCAGCAGCAGCAGCGTGTCCACCCTGCTTGTGACGCCGACAACGGCGATACCTCGTCCTTGTCCGGCTTGCACAGACTGCACGACGTCCAAGAGACAGTACAGTAGCGCCTGGCGCGCGTGTTCCGTGAACAGGTCGAATTCGTCCACCACAATGATGATCGCGCGCTCGCTCGCAGCAGTCAGGAGCGCAAGAAGGTGTGCCGGGAGAGTCGTCGGCGCATAGTCGTCAGGCATCTCGTCCTCGTCCTCGGCTGCTTCGGCTTGGCCTTCCGCGAAAGCGATCTGTCGGCCCATTTCGCGGATTGCGCGTCGGTCGTCCGTCTGCGCCAGGCCACTGAGGCGGACCACGATAGGGGCAGACTCGGCGGGTAGCCGGCGAAGGGCCGCTTCGACGATCTGAGGTTAGCTATCACCGTGAACCTGCAAAGCTTACTCTTGTCTTTCCCGAACCTCTGGGGCCGGTCACGAGGCAGCTGTTGCCCTCACCGCGGATCACCGTTCCGCTCAACAGTGCCACGAGACCAGTCAGCGCCTCCGAGTCTTCTGGCTCCGTCAAACGTCCGTTCAGCGTCGCGAGGACTTCTACAATGCGCTTCCTCGCCTGCGGGAGCAGAGGTCGCGCGGCGTGCGTGATCGGTTGCGGTACGGGTTCGTCGACGACAACCACCTCCTCTTGCTCCTCGGCACTCTCGTCCGTTGCGTCCTCGCCGTAGTCGTGAGAAACCGTTTCGACGACCCTTCCCGATCTAGTTTGTCTGGGCGCGTTGGCGTCGCCCTCGAACACGAAGTTGCGGGCCTCACGCTGTCGCTTCAGTCGCTCGTTGGCGCGGAAAGCCTCCCGGCTCATTGGAGAACCAGCCGCGGGAGAACCACTGCCGAACACGTCATCATCGAAGGAGGGAAGTGCACTGTTCCCTCGCGTACGTTTCGGGGTCGCTCGCGAGACCGCCTCGAGACTGTCCGCGAACCGCTTCGTGCGGCCTTTCGGTGTCGGTGAGCCTTCCTCGGCATTCGTGTCCGCCGCACCGAGGGGGTTGAGCCGCTTCGATGGCGTCTTGTCCTTCGGCGTCTTGAGAGGGCTCTTACTCGCACTTCCCTGCGCCGAGGGAGTCTTCTTCGCCCGGCTCGAGGGAGTGCGCGACATGGTGCTTGGGTTTTGAGACGTCAACAACAACAAAATCAAGAAGGCGAGTGCTCAACACGTCCAGTGTCAGGCACCAGGCACAGACTATAGGCGCTCCGAAGTCACGTGCAGATCCACACCCTCCACACGCGTCGGTCATGTAAGTCCCATAATATCCTAGACTCAAGCTAACGTACTACACACAACACACACAAGAGACACACAGCATGGACATCGACCGCCCCCTTGACGACCTGATCCCGAAGCGCAAGCCTAAGCCGCGTTCCAGCACTGGACGTGGCGGTGGCGGTGCGGGTGTGGAGCGCTCAGAGAGGCGCAAGTCGCGCGGCTCGGACGCGCCGTACGCTGTAAGTGTGCCTTCCCTGCGTTCCTCATCTTCCTCGAGACTCCGCATCCTCTCCCTACATCGAAACTACTGATGCATGTACTGACACCAGCGACCCCCTCCCCGTTCAACCGAGGACAAGTGGGTGCACGATGCGTTCGAGGGACCGGGGCGCAAGCCGTCGCTCGGCGCTGCGGGCCACATGCCCGTCACCAGCTCGCCGCGCATCGAGGTGTCAGGGGTGCACTACGAGGTGACGCCTGAGGAGCTCAAGGTTTGCTTGTAGCGTGTCCAAGGAAGCTGACTTGCAGAGCGTATTCGAGCAGGCGGGGACGATCACCCACGGCCCCGAGATCCGGGTAAGCTTCCACGGCGAGGAAGGCGCAGCAGCAAGACAAGGAGGCTGAGCTTATGGGTGAAATATGATCTGACATTTGTGAGTATTAGTGTTTATGATCGTGGTAATCCTGTGCGCAAGCAGCGTGTTGCAATGAGCTGCGCGGTGACTTCTTGTAGGGCTATCAGCTAACGTACAGAGTACGACCGCGCTGGCCGGTCCACGGGCGTCTGCATCGTCGAGTACTCCTCGCCGGCGCAGGCCAAGAGCGCGTTGAACCAGTTCGACGGCGCCATGATGAAGGGTGAGTCTCGGAAGGCTCCAGACTCAGTCTGCTCAGGGCGTGGACAGTGCCGCCAGGAGGCTCCCGACTCGTTTTCTGCCAGCCGCTTCGGCGTATCTCTCCACAGATCCTTGCAAGCTTCTATGAGCAGCAGGTCCATCCCTGGGCCAACTCATGAACTGCAGACTGACACGCCCAGGCCAGACGATTACGATCAAGCTGATCGCACCTCCCCGTCCGCGCGGCGACAAGAAGAAGAAGTCCGTCGACGGCAACTCGGGGCAATCGCTGCTCGCGCGGCTGGGCCAGTCTTCTGGACAGTCCAAGCAGCGCGATGCTCCTCGAAACGACAGATCGGACAGGTCTGTGTCTCGCCGCGGCGACCGTGGCGGGTGAGTTGTGTTAAGCCGGTATCAGCTGACGTCAGATCTCGGGGTGGTCGTGGTAACGCGCAGACAGGTCAAGGACGGGGAAAGCGCGCGCCGGCGTCGGCGGCGGACCTGGACGCCGAGCTGGCCGGGTTCATGAAGAGCGATGATGTGGCCATGTAACTGAGATTAGCTTGAGATGCCCGTGCCCTTTTGCAGTTAGATTGGTCCCCAGATGCTGTCACGCCAGGGGACGAGCTAGGTGTGAGGCATGTGTTCCTAGTGTGTTTGGCAGCATCTCGTCAGAAGGGATACAGCACATGTGATGGGCAATTGGTTTGCCCAGTCGGGCTTGGACACACGAGAGCATGAGAGGAGGACGACTTAGGGCTGAGCGTTTGAGAGGAGACGCCACGGACCGAGCTCATGTGTGTCTGCGTGCGTCTGCCCATTCATGTTGTTTCGCCAAGAGAGCCGGCGTCGACGGCGCACGCCGAAACCGGCCACAAACAGCCAAGCAGCGCCAATAGCACCGCCTGGTGCGCCTCCGACCCTGCCTCTCCTCCGTGTGCCCCTGTGACGGCCGTTTCTTGTATTTCTTGGAATCGGTGCCCGTGCATCGTGCTCGTGCTCGCGCAGTAGGTACCTTCTCGGAGCAGAGTGGGGTGGGAGATCTCGGTCTGGCGGCTCATGCGATGGAGGCTGGGGCTCCGGGCCGGTGCGTGCCGGGGCATGTCCCTATGTACGGTGCGCGGACAAAAAATCAACAGAGCAGCATCGCCCCCTTGTCTCCCCCCGGATCTGGCTTAACTCTGCTCGGCTCTTATCCCCGTGACCTTGCACCGAGCTCACCGCAGAACGACTGAACAGCTTGCAGAAGGAGGGAGAGGAACTCTGTTGAACTCTGTTAACTGCCCCTCCCACCGAACGAGGACCCATTGCTTCTGCTGCGAGCTGCGAAAGCAACAGCACAACCCCCGACCAGGTTCGATCACCGGCAATCACGGCAAACTTTATTTGTCTCGTGCAGTGCTCATCCTGCCTTCTGGCACCCACCGTCCACACCTTTCACAGGTGAACTCTGTTCTCGCACGGCAAGCAGTCAACTTGCATTCGCCCAGCTCCCAGTTCCACAGGTTGGACCACTCTGTTCCTTGAACATACCGACGTACCTTGACGCCGTACGACGCACCATGGACATTGCACGCTAGGGAACATCCTCAGGCGACAGGAATCTCTTATCAATCCCACCCCGCACCTCGTTTCGGCCCACAGTCGGTTATCCTCGTCCACCTTCCATCACCCTACGATCGATACGCACAATACACAACTGGACGAGCTGGGTACATAAGCGCTCCTCCCTCGTGCGCATTTGCGTGCCCCGTCGCACCCCCGCGATCAGCATCACCTGAGTGCGCCAGCACGCCAGAACGTCCAGAGCTGTATATAGCTCCAGGCCCCGACACCACACGAACATTAGCTTAAGCTTCCTGCAAGCTCTCCTTGTGTGACTAGTCTCTTGCCCGTCACACGGTGCACACCGCGCACCTCAAGCGTAACAACACGTGCTGCTCTCGGTCGCCACGGTCCGGGTCCCACGGCTCGAACGGCTCAACGGCTATCAACACCACATCCGGCGAGAGCGAGGGCTCGCGAGCGTCCACAGCGGTCAATCACTCCCTCACTCCTCCACTGCGCACCTGACCCACTTGGGAGACTGGGCTCCATTGTGCACTCGGCACACGGCACCTACGGCACATCCCCCTCGGCACGGCAAAGCGCTTCTAGAGCAATCGGAGCGAAAGTCGCTTCCCGCAGACACCTCTGCGCTAGTCTGCGTCAGTTCCCAGAACTAGCAGAACCGGAGTGATGGGCTTGGGTCGATCTTAGCGTTGAGCCCCGTCTAGCCCATTCCTCAAGTTTAGACTCGGGGTAGCTTTGAGTCTGTTATTCTGCTCCGGCTGCCCCTCTGCTCCTCTGTGCTTCCTTCTGGTTGTGCCTGTTGCGGCATACTCGCACGCAACTCTTGGAGTGTATCTGGGAGCTATAATAAACAACGCCGAGAACTCCTACCCTCTTCATCAATCTCTCCACACACGACCGAGAGTTTGGCCATGTTCACGATGATGGGTCCCGAGCGCGCGCGCGCATGGACAATCTGTCTCGTTGCCGCGCTGGGCATGACGCTGTACGGGTAAGTCAACTTGCGGCTCTTCATTGCTCCGCACCGTTCCCACCTGACGCGAGCAGATATGACGCGGCATCGTTCAACTCCTCGTATGGCCTCAAGACGTTCGTGCACCACTTTGCGGGCCCGAATGCGACCAAGATGGACCCGAACCTGCTCGGCGCAGCCAACACGGCGTTCACGTGCGGCTCCATCATTCCCGGATACTTTATCACGCCGAGTGTCTCGAAGCGTTTCGGCCGGCGCGTGGCCATCTTCATTGGCTGTTTCCTCGTTGTCATCGCGACATTCTTGCAGACCTTTGCGCCAAACTTTGGCACGTACATCGCCGGCCGCCTCATTGTCGGCATGGGGCACGGGTTCGTCATGCCCACTGGCCCTTGCTACATCGCCGAGATCGCGCCGCACGCCATCCGCGGCCGCATCATGTCCTTCTGGCAAGTGTCGTTCACCATAGGTGCCTTCTTCGTGTACTGGGTCGCCTATGGCTTGAAAAAGGCCGACTACCTGGGCGACTGGCAGTGGCGGACGATCCAGATTCTCCAGCTCGTCTTCCCCCTCATTGTCGGGATCGGCATTCTGTTCTGTCCCGAGTCCCCCCGCTGGCTAGTCGAGCGCAACCGTATCCCCGAAGCGAGGCGGATCATTCGCAAAATCCGCGCGCCAGACGAGGTCGACGCCGAGCTCGAGACCATAGTCGCGGCAGTCGAGTACGAGCGCGCCAACATCAACCACGGCGATTCCTACTTGACGCCCTACAAGCTGATCTGGACGGATGTGTCTGTACGCAAGCGTTTCCTGCTCTGTCTCGTCATCAATGGCGGACAGCAAGTATGCGGCAACTCGCAGCTCGGTTCCTTCTCCACCTTGATCTACCAGCAAGTGTTCGCAGACGCCAACACCATATTCCTCATCAACGCGATTGCGGCCAGCTTCAACATTCTCTTCACGCTCAACTGTTTCTGGCTCGTGGACCGGCTCGGTCGGCGGTTCCTCCTCATCACGGGCGCGGCGGGCATGGCTGCCGCGCTGCTGTGTGTCGCCAGCGTCGGCGTGGGCATCAAGCCCGGGCCAGACGGACACAAGCCGTACGGCGAGGGCGTCGCCATTGCCTTCCTCTTCTTCGTCTTTGCGCTCTTCTACAAGCCCTCCTGGGGCGCTACTGTCTGGATTTACACCGGCGAAGTATTCTCCCAGAACGTCAGAGCCCACGCCGTCGCCATGGCTAGCCAGTGGCAGCATGTGTGCAGCGCCATTGTGAGCCAGTTCTTCCCCCTCTTCCTCCAGAATTGCGGGTTCTACACCTTCTTCTTCTTCGCCGGCATCAATGCGCTGCTCTGTCTGTTCACCATCTTCTTCATCCCCGAGAGCAAGGGCGTGCCCCTCGAGGAGATGGATACGCTCTTCGGCGCCAAGAGCCACACGTCCGAGCAGCGGCCGCTCGGCGGAGATGCCAAGGGTGCTACACTTGCATACTCGGGCGAGTCGGGAGATTCAACCCCGAGAAACGAAGAGGACAAGGGATCCGGCGCCGAGAGCGTCGGGCCTAGCGAGAAGAACACGCCGTCCCTCCCCTCCAAGCCATCATAGTTTTCGATATCATCTTCTGTTTGTTGGATTCCTCTGTACTCGTTTGTTGTTGAATGCACCAGTAGTAAACTGCACACTATTAACATACTTTACAATAACTACAATAAGCTTATCGGTCGTGCTTGACCTATAGCGCTATACTTGCGCTCACTGCATGCTCAACTCCGAGCTCAGCGCGACCAGAGATCGTCCGTGGCCTGCCAAACAACGCCCTTGGTCTCATTGACATCCGTCGCGTGCACGGGCGGCAAAGGACGGTCCACGTCCGTGCTATAGGCGCGAGTGGCGAGCTGACTGTCGATGAGGAACTGGAGCACGTCGCACGTCTCGAGACGGTCGAGCGCGCTAGACACGCGTGCCATGAGGCTGTGCTCTGTGATGCCCGGACGAGTGATGAGATGCGCGACAACAAGCTTGACGGCACGCTCCCACTCCGAGGGAATGTTATTCCCCCAAATGTCCACCCAGCGGCGGGGCGCGACGCGCACAGCGTCCGCCTGCGACTCCTTGTCGTCGTGAGAGCGGTCCGCAAGGTCGACACTCCACTGGTCCCAGTGCTGGGAAGAGACGAGGCGCGCGTTGTCGTATCCTGCCCAGAAGATGCGGGGCGTGTCTTCGAGCGCAAGAGCGGCCAAAGAAGCGTCCACGTCTTCCAGGGAGAGCTCTGTCTGCGCCTGCAGATCACCGCGCTGGATGCCGTTGGCGCCAGCGACCTCGGTAGCCTTGACGATGCGCTCAACGACCCACGGCTTGGCGGACAGGTCACCGCCCCAAGGCCGCGGCTTAGGGGCCTCGCGTGGCGCCATGGCAGGAGGGGGCGACCACTTGCGAGGTGTCTCCTCAAGGCGCGTCGCGGTAAAGTCGAACTCGAACGCGTCGTCGTCTGAGGTTAGCTATATCAATCCACCGGTGTAGCTCCTCACTCAATGCCCTGGTGTTGTACATGAGCCTGCTCTGCTTCAGCGTAGGGAAGTCGCAGTCGTCGAGGTCAAAGTCAAGCTCGTGATTAGAGACAAGCGACATGACAGCGGCAAGGTCGCCACTGTTGCCGAGCAGCGGCCAAGTAATCGTGCGATCTTCGGCCTCGTCGAAACGCTTGATCGCCTTCGTGACCTCGGCGTCGATATCGGACGGGAGTGAGCCTTCTGATGCGGCAAGCCAGCTGGCGTGGAAGCCGTACATGCGACCGGGAGTGCGCTGGCCGACGCTCGACTTCAAAAGGATGCCGTCGTTGACCATGGACGACATGATCAGCTCGTACTCCTCGCGAGGCCAGGACAGAATTCTAGAAGCGTGGCTCATGTCGTAGGTTTCAGAAGGCGACCCGACGATCATCTGCGAGTCAGCTTATGATAGAGTACCGGAGAGCTCACCTTGATCACTGAGCGGATTACGCCAGAGCGGCGGCCAGATGAGATGGTGAGATCAGGCTTGACGTCTTCCTGAGCACCCTCAACAATGGAGCCAAGGGCGATATTGTGGAGGCGAGTTTCCTCGGCGAGCGCAGCTGTGTCGAGCACAAGATCAAAGCTCGTGTTCGTGTGCTTCAGGTACTCCCATGAGTACTTCTCCGTGATCTCGGATACGTTCTTGGGCAGGTCCTGGATCGGCTGCTCCTTAACAGCCGTCTGCGCCGAAGTCGGGAGACGGAGTAAGTGCTTGTTGACGTGCTGGCGCATGAAAGTAACATGCCTTTTCAGATCAAACTCGATGTGGCTCGTCGGGTTCGGGTCGGGCAGGGCTGCCGTGCCGCGGTGCTCGACCCAGAGGTCGTGGAACGCATCGACAAGGCGGTCAAAGTACGCCGAGCGACCAGGAATGTCGAGCAGCTTCTTCAGCTTGTTGCGCATAACTTGGTCTCCAAGGTCGGGGAAGAGCTGATTCATCGCTAAGCGGCCGCGGTTTGTCGTGCCCTTGCAGCGCGCACGAATGACCGCCTCGGCATCGAAGAAGAGCTCTTCCTCGTCACGCGACCAGTTGTGGCGGTGACGGCGGATCTTGCTGGACGATGAGTCACCTGTAAAGTTAGCTGAGGAAGCCGACCGAATTCGTGAGCTTACGAAGACTGCTGGACTTGCGAGCCCGGTCAGGTCGAGGAACAGATGGCCGCGCACTGCGTGCAGTGAGCTTGTTGCGACGCGAGGGAAGAACACCCTGCTTGTGGCGCTGATACGAGTAGATGACGGCCATGAGGTCTTCCTCCGAAACCATGGCACCGAGATGGCTCATGGGGCGGTTTGCCGCCACGTACTTGCGGACTTCGTCCGTGAGCTCAACGTTGGCACGCTCAGCAGCGGTTGCCAGACGCTCCTCGAACACTTCACGCGCAGCCTTAATGCGCTGAGCGAGTTCCTCGCGAATGGCGTCACGCTCATCCTCGTTGCGGTACGTCTCCTTGCCACGGCGTTCTCTGGGCGGCGCGCCACGGGGAGGAAGGCGTGCCCTCTCCTTGCGGACCAGCAAGTTGACCAGGTCATTCTTCCGGAGACAAAGGTCGTATGCGAGCTGGTTGAGCTCCTCGTCGGTATGGGTCTTGCCCTTCACCCTCTCAGCGCGGAGAGCCCTTGCCTGCTCGATATTGACACGGACATCGTCCTTCCAGTGCACTCTAGAGCGGAGCGTCTTGCACATGTCGATCTCCTTGTACGTTCCCATCAGCACACCGTGCACCTGGGGCGCGAAGGGGAACGACGGCATTTTCGGCATACGCTGGACGTGCGGCTGGATGGAATCAACTGAGGCGGACTGGATGGCGTCCCAGAGCGGCTTCATGTCTTCCGTCGTAGCGGCGGGCATGAAGCCGACGAGCGACAGCGACGGATCCGCAATATGCCAGACAGGGGCGACATCATAGAGCATGAAATATGTCGTTGCGTTGATGTCATCGTGGTGCTTGAAATACTGCGGATGGTCGCGCGAAGCACCATCCAGCTTGAGGGTCGCCGAGGCCTTGTCTGTAACCTGAAGCGGCATGACGATGTTGAGGAAGTCGAGCGTGCCGAGCAGTGTACGGATCAGCTGCTTCGAGCTCGTGCTCGTCTTGCTCCCTACATTGCAGCGGGCGGCAATGTCCTCGGGAAGCTCGTTGATGCGGAGCTCCAGATTCGCTGGGTCCTGCAGCCACTCGTACAGCACCTCGTCATACTCGCGGTGCTGGACGATATGGAAGAAGTCCTTGATGCGGATGTACTCGAAGAGGAAAGGGAGGGCGAACACGCGCGGCGAGGTCGATACGACTGAGTCCGCCTCGGGGTGCGCCGCGAACGCCTCGACAAGACTCTGGTGCAGGGTCCTAGTCCGCACGCAACGACCGAACTGGTAGTTGTACATCGATCCCACCACCGTACTATCGGTGAGCAGGCGTTCACGCATGCTGAGAGGACGACCGGGGTCCTCAGACTCAGATTTCTTGACATGCGTAGGCGGACGGCGCTTGAACGCAGAGTACTCGATCGCTGGCTTGTTGCGTCCAGCCGAAACTTGTGTGACACCAGGGAGTGGCGCGGCCATGAGCTTACGGACAAAGTCCTGCACAGTATCCTCGGGCGTGTCGGCGAGATAGACGACACTCTGGCGCACCCAACGTCCAGTCGAAGTAGGCATCGTCGCGACGCGCATCTTCGCGCGTCCGTCTTCAATCAGGCGATTCAGGATGCGCTTGAACACCTTGCGATCCATGCCACTGGCAACAGCAGGCGCGTTCGGGTGATCCGTGCCGGCCCACTTCTGCGCCCAGGGACCAATCTCATGGTGCAGACGCTGGTCGGTCGAGATGCCACCCATGTCAGACAGACACTGGAAGATCTCGTTGGTGCGACGGAAGACCGAAACATCAACACGCGGGCCGCGGCTCCTCGTGTACGGCTTCTTTTCCTCGATAGCGACAAGAGGCTCGTCTTCGTCTTCGAAGTCGACCGTGGCTTGGCGTGAGTCTTCGGTCATGATTTCGTCGATCTGGCTATCGCCCTGTGATAAAGGTGTCGCGTGCGCCTCAGGCTCGGGGGCCATCGGCTCCTCCGGCTCTGGCGGGTTTCCGACAGCCCACGTCTTCCTAGGACCTGGCGTTTCGGAGGTTGATGGGGCAGGAGTCGGTTCGCTCGCCTCGACTGGAGCAGCGAGCTCTTCCATGGCCTCCTCAGGGGCCGCTTCCGCGGCAACAGATTCAGAGGTCTGCTGCACCTAAGCCGGCGCTGGAAGCTGAGACTCCGCGGGTGGCTCCGGTTCCGGCTCCTTAGCAGAACGGCCGCGCCGCGGGCGCTTCGTGGGGGTGTCGATGGGCGTTGACGGGGCGGACAGGAGATCGACGTTAGCGCGTTTCCGTCCGCGAGCGGGGGTCTTGCGTGTCGGGGTCGGTGCAAGGTCAGCCTGAGTCTCAGAAGTAGAGGGGCCGGCTGCGAGCGCTTCTGCTTCTTGAGCCGTAGCAGCGACCTCCTCTTCATCAGGCAGGATCTCGTTCGCCAACGAAGAGCGAACTCGCCGTCGCTTCGTCGGCGGAGCGAGCTCGCCGTCGGTGGTTTCTTCACTTTGCGCGGCTGGTGCGAGCGAGTCGATCTCCTGCTCGACCTCCTCATCTTCAACCTCTTCCTCGCCTTCGAAGTCGGCACTCCCCTTCTTGCCTGACTCCTCTTCAGCAATCTTGGCGGCGATGACCTCAGCAGCGGCGATCTCAGCAGCAGCCACCGTCTCGTCGGGGTCTGCAGCGCCTTCCTCAGGTTCTGGCTCGTCGCCTGCTTCTTCGTCCTCGTCCTCGTCCGCCTTCTTCTTGCTGGCCGCCTTTCTCGGCGTCTTTTTCTTGGCACCTTTGTACATGTGTCCGTTGGGGCGCGGAGGTGCGAACTGGCGGTAGAAGTCGATGGTCTTCCCCAGGTCGATCTCCGTTTGGGTTACAGGGGGTGGAACACCCACGCCGTCGTAGCTAGGGGGCGCGGGCACGAGAATGTCGAGGTCCTTGAGGTAAATCAAGACCTCGGGGTAGTCAGGCGATGTGGGGAGATTGCCAACGACATTCCTGTTACGAGTGCCGTCGGTGTTCACGATGATGACGTACTTGCGCGGGCGGCCGCGCTTCTGCACCGTGTTCTCGTACCTGTTCACCTTGGTCTTGGGCGTCTTCTCTTTCGGCGTCTTCTTCTCCTTCGGTGTCCTGCCCTTCGGGGGACGACCAATTCTGCGCGGCGTGGAACTGAGAGATGGACGACCCTTCTTCGGACCACCACCACCGCCTACAGGTACGACGTTGGCGGCGAGCACCTCCATCTCCGAGATGAAAGAGGCCGGATTCTCTGCGATCTGGCGCATGGACGTGTCCGCAAACCCTCCGGACCCGGTAGACATCTGCACATCGGGGAGCGGGGCACCGAGACGGGCCATGAGCTCGATGTATCCATCGTTATTGTAGCATCGCAATCGACGCTCGCGGTGCGCAGACTCCATGACAAGGCGGATGGCGCGGTGGCGCAAGTGAGCGGGCAAATAGATCTGATCCTGGCGGTTCACGTAGAACTCGAGCGTGCGCTTGAAGATGCCAGACACGCGATCCGACAGCTCAGCCAGCGTTGCACCTTGATCCCTTGCCTCCTGGAGTTGGTAGTTGAACTGGCCCTCGACGGGCTGGAGCATTTTCGCTGTGCCTTGATACTGATACGGCTGCGCATAGTCGTCGACTGCAGGTCAGCTCCCCCTTCACTTCCTCAAGCTCACTGTTCAAAGGGACCTCGTTAACTTCCTCAATGTCATCGGAGTCATCCTTCTCCTTGGGCTTGAAATCCGGGTTGTATTTCGTCAGACGAAGACATGCCCTCTGAGCGTTGCCTACATCGACATACTCCACGATATCGTCATTGACAAGCGTCGCGATGTGACGCTGCAACTGGCGGCGGTGTCTTGTGAGCCAGTCGTCGGCAGGCCATCCCAGCACTTGGAGGAGATTATGATTGCCAAGGAGATGATTGCGCAACCCCGGGCTCTCGAGGACCTTGAGCAGGCGCTCCTTCGGGATGTGGCCCGCAGCGAGTTCCGCTTCCGAGAAGGGCTGGAAATCGAACCCGAGCGACTGTCCATCGACGCCTGCTTCCGGCGCCGCAGAGCCGTCTTCCTCGTCCGCCACTTCGTTCTTAACGTCGACTTCATCGAGGCGCTTGTGTGCGCGGTATTGCGGGTTCTGCTCCAGGAAGCGGCGGTACACAAGCAAACTCGTCGAGGAGCCGTTCAGCGACGCGGGCACCTTGGCACACAATCCGAGCTGGATCAGGACCTTCATGTAGTGGAACACACTCTTTTGGTTGCACCCAAAGAGCGGGCCGAGTTCGACGGCACTCATACCTGCAGCGCGACTGCGTGCCGCCACCTGAAGGAAGTTGAAAATCATCGGCGTGATCTTTGTTATCTGCCTTGTCAGTTGCAAGTCAAACAGCTCGCAACTCACTCGTTTACGGGAGCCGGTCAGGCGATAGTAGATCTCATCATCTGACCCCCTCACGCGCACGCGAGGGTACTTGAGAAGGAGGCCAGCCAGATTGCGTGCCGGGAACTCTTCGTCTTCTCCGACAGGTCGGAGGTCACCTTCCTCGTCATCTTCTGCGACGACAACCTCGACATTAGGCTTGCGCACGAGCAGCTGCCACAGGTGCGCAAAGTAGTCATCGTCGATGGCCGGGTCGAGTTTCTGGATATGGGCGCGAAGGAGGGCAGGGTCTGAACCTGGAGGGGCGTCAGCTGAGCCACAGGGGCGAAGTTCCAGCGGGCGGCAAAGACATCGACAACGACACACCGGCCCCATCCACACCACTGAGGCCCTCGCATCCGCACCTCTCTGCCCCGAACCTGACCACAACAACAACAATGATGACATCGCTGCCTCCACCTGCGATAAGGATAAGGGTGGAAGATGAGGTTCGAACCCTATGCGGGCCGGCGCGTGTTGGGATTTTTGAGGAAGGACATCGGGAACCTTCCTCGCGATGAGCTCGTCGGGAGTGCACTCACCTAGCACACCGTCGCACACGATGTATTCGAGGCAAGCCTCGAGCAGCTCGTGGATCCTCATGGTCGCATGAGCGCGTCCGGGCGAGCTGGTTGGCGATGGTCGAAGGTCGGTTGCGTAGCGTTGAGGGTGGATCTGCGCCGTTGAGCACTAACTGTTGGTGGGACCTCGAAAGTTGCGACCTGTGCCTGGGCCAAAGGAGGCAACGCACGTGACTTTGCTCCCGCTCTCGAAAGTGCAGCGAATGACGTGGGTTCGATTCCGCGAGGGGTCACCGCGGATCGTGTTTGAGGAGTGCTGAGCGATGGGCAGGTCTTGACTGACGACATGGAGGCCATTAACGGACTGATCTCGCTGGGGGACTGGAGGTACACCAGGGAAGACCGTGAGCTCTGAAGTGGCATGGGTTTACTGCTTGCATCGCCTTGGCTATCAATGCCGGGCGTCTCGACTTGTGACTAAACTACAACTGCTAGAGGTGTTGCACATATTGTAAGAACAGCGTATCGGTCATGAACATATCGGGCACGTCGCCGAAGAGGTGACGGCTTCAGTTACTTGGGAGTAACCCACTCGGCGTTGCCAGTAGTGCTCATACCGAGGGTGGCTCCGTTGACGGGCTCCTGAGCCTGGACACCCATGCAGCGGCCGAGACCAGAGCAGATCCAGTCTTTGTCCCAGCGCCACTTGGTGTAGTAGGTCATGAGGTCCGAGTCACAGGCGGCAAGCACGACAGAGGCGCCAGCGGCAGAGCCCCTCTCTGTCCACGTCAGCCACAGCCACAATTATTTCCTTGTTGACACCTCGGATAGTACTCACTGGGACGCTTGAAGGCGACACACTTGTCGGTACCGTCGAGACGGATGTGGTAAAGGGGGATGTCCTTGTATACCTCGGCCTGCTCCCAGATCCACTTCTGGTCCTTGTCTTCGTTCCAGCACTCGTAGATCTGCAGCTTGTTACCGTCCTCGAGTCGACCCTCCGTGTTGTCCAGGCAGAAGTTGGTACCCTTGAGCTGGATCGAACGGTCGATCGTTACGTCCTCTGCGAGCGCAGGGGTAGCAGCGAAGAGAGCGGTGAGTGCGGCGAGAGAAGAGAACAGCATACTGATGTGTTGAGTTGGCTGGGTTGAGAAGGAGCCAGTTGATCTCGGGCTCGTGGTGTTATATACCTTACGATTGTTTGGTAGGTGGTCAGTTAGGACTTGAATGCGTCACGGAACTTCACAGCCAAGATCCCCGATTTAGACGCACGAGTCAACTGAGGGCTGCAAGCACAGCGCGGACCCGCAGAACGGGCAGTCCAGTGAGACACAGAGCACCGCTGCGGAGAGTCCGTTGCGGACCGACTAAGCGAGGCTTTCCATGACCGATGGCGTCCGGCACGCACCGGCGCCCGGCGCCGGGTGGTGTTGCTATCCTCTGCTGAGTGTACCGCCGATGTCGGTGAGATCGGGAACGGATGTAGCGAGGAAGCCTATGATCTCATTGACCACGTTTCGATCACAAATTGTCGGCGAGGGCCCCTCGGCGAGGAAGGGTCGGCGCAGGCGGTGCGGCGTCACGCATCCTTCGGAGCCGAGCTTGTGTCGTTAGTCTCCCGGCCGCTAGGGTTGCTGGCAGCTGAGTGAGCATGTGTCAATGCGCGTCAGCCTTGTACGTCAGTGACATTCATTCGAACGGAGTGCAGGACGAGGAAAGAAATGCGAGGAGCCAGCCGATTTTGCCGCAAGGTGTGCCGCACAGATATCCGTCCTACTTCCGTCCCTGGGGCGTTGAGTGCTATGCCCTTCGGAGTGTGCACTGAAAGTTTGGCTGGGATCGGAGATCTCAGAGCATTCGGGAGCTGTCACATGGCTCTGAACTGCGGTGCACGCGACTCGATCGCAGATTAAAGAATCCGGGTCAAGTTGGGAGAACATTTAGAACCTCGCTTATCGTCGGACCCGTGTTACTCGCCTCATCCGACCAAATCTCTCGCTGAAAAACTTAGGCTCTCCGTCAACTCTCTGCATCATGCCAGACACATAGTTACTGCTACGACTACTTATGGTTCGAGCGCTTGCATTGCCGCTCACTTGGGAGTGATCCACTCGGCGTTGTTGGTCGTAGTCATACCGAGCAGGTCGCCGTTAGCGGGATTCTGCGACTCAACGCCGAGGCAACGGCCTACAGTCAGCTTCTGAGGTGGACATTAGAACTCACCAACACCGGAACAAATCCAGTCCTTGTCCCAGCGCCACTTGACATAGTAGCTCTTGGGGTCCGAGTTGCAGCTAGCCAGAACGACGGGCGCACCGGAAGCGGAGCCGTGCTCTTGGTCTGTCAGTGCTCACTGTCCCGAATCACCCTGCCCCCTGAGGGATGTTCAACACATCACTTACCGGGAACCTTGTAGGCAAGACACTTGTCTGTATTGTCAAGCTTGATGTTGTAGAGCTGGTCGCCCTCGCTCTGGACCTTGACCCAGTTCCACTGTTGGTCGCCAGAACTATCGCAGTTCGCGACCTGGAGCCGGTTCCCGTCAGACTGGTTGCCGTCCTTGTTGTCGAGGCAGAGCTTAGAGTTGCGGAGGTTGATCGACTTGGTGATCTCGACTTGAGCGAGAGCGGGGACGGTAGCGGCGAGGATAAGAAGAGACGAAGCGAGCATGTTCGGTTGTGCTTTCGAGTATTATTTCAAGGGGGTTAAGAAGGTCCTGTCGTGGTTATTGAGGATCTTCCGACATCACTCCGCCTCTGGACTCTTAAGTATCTGCTTCGGGTTGTCGTTAGCATCGGTGAAGCCAGTGAGGATGAACGATGCTCGGTACAATCCCGCAAGCTCCGACTAGTATACCGCTTCGAGCGAGAAGCGCGCTCTGCAGCGGAGGTCTCGGTGCGGCGAGGACACGTGCGCCGCAGTAAATACCAGCGGCGGACCATCTGCGACTGCGAGGACTAGCCTGTAGATTAGCTTCGGCAATGAGATCATGGAACACCGTAAGTCTGCACCGATTGCGCATGGGCGTCGATTGGCATGCATCGGAACCGGCGGGCTGCGGAAGGCGTGGATGTGGGGGAACATTTCGCGGGATTCCCAATGGCGTAACCTGGCCGAAAGTTGTTTACAGTACTTTCACTGAGCACAGCTGGATGCCACAATACAAGAGCTCGGTCTCCAGTCAAGACTCCCGCCCGGCAAGCACCGAGCCCGTGGTATGCACAAGTATCGCACCCGGAGAGGGGGACCGCATGGCATGGATACCGCGCATAGTCGTTCCTGTACCACATCGCAGAGCCAATTGACAGTGTCGGATGAAACAACCCCTTCGGCGTTCACTTTCAATCCACCCCTCAGGATCGGCCCGTGATAAGATACTGAGAGTGGAGGATCGCGACCTTCGTCTTTCCTTGCGCGACCAGTGAACGTCAGTGCAACAGTACAGTTCGCGATGCTCCCAAGTAGTAAAGTTATGGTTGTTAAAGTCCTTCTTCAGATGCATGCTGTCATGGCCTGCATGACCACCTGACCTGTTCTTATACTTCTTCAACGTTACATTACTTAACACGGGAGAGGGCGATAACCAGCCATTTAGTGGCCGCCGCTGCTCCACGAAGAGCTCGAGCTCCAAGACCAAGAGTTGGACCACGAGTACGACCACGAGCTCCACGAGCTCCAGGACGAGTAGACCGAGTGGTTGTCGCTGACCACGAGGTTCTTGCCCGTGTCGGACGTGATGCGGTCCTGGGGACCGAAGCACCAGTCGAAGTGAATGCTGTGGTCGTGGCCGTGCTTGCCGCAGTCGTCGAGCCAGACGCGGTCGCCGTCCTCTATTTTGTCAGCTTACACTCCCGTACTTCTCTCTGCATTCGTACTCACCACCGGTGCAGAGACACTGGTTGGAGCCGTCGATCTTAATGATGTAGTACTGGCGGTTGTTCTCCCACTTGGAGCTTTCGAAGATGAACTTGCGGTGCGACGAGTCGCTGCTGCTGCACTTGGTGGTGATCGACAGGAAGGTGTCGGTCTGAGCACGGCTGGTCAGACACCAGTCCTTTCCGTCGGGCTTGAAGACGGTGGGCTTGCCCTCCTCGACGTGGTGGTCGCCACGGGGGACAGCGGTGGCGGCGGCGGCACCAGCGGTAGCGAGAACAGCGAGGGTGGAGGCGAGCATTGCTGGTCTGGTTCGAGTGTTGGTTGAGACTGTTGAGACTTGAGGCGTTGTTGGTGGAGAGGAGATACCTTTCAGAGGTCTGCTTTTATACTCTTAAGATCCCAGAAGGGCGAGACTTTCACTGCAGGGTAACATTGCGACCACCTTGCTGAGAAAGCCCGGCGTCCGCGCATTGCACATGCACTCGATTATGTCGCTGTTCTGTCTCCTAGCAACGATGCGATGTGACGCTCCGTGCAGACGTAAGGCTGCTGGATGCTGCACAAACGCGCTGAGGACGCGCCATAACCGTGGCCTGCCGAGAAGTGCAGTTCCTGTAAACGGGATGTTATTGCTCATGGCAACATCAGTACGGTGTTGAGAGAAGAACCGGAGGAGTGTGAGAGACGGTAGGTTGTTCCAGTGATCGGTGGAAGCGTGAGAGATACCTCGGGAAGATGCTGTGCGCCGTTAACGGCAATTCGGCGGCTTGCGACGCCGAGCCCGCCACACGGCGATCTGTTGTTATCGTCGGCTGTGCCCGAAGAGTTCCCGGTGAGAGAGTCGATGTAGTCGACGCGACTGCGGAGGCACGTGTGACACGGCGCCGGTACGGTGCCCGGTCGGAATCAACCTCATGCCAGGTGGTGGGCAGGTTGGGCAGGGTGGAGCAAGCGGGAGGCAGCGTGACGGACGGGTGTACTTTGCTGAGAGGGCAGGCAACCTGGTTGGGCCTCGGTCGGTCGTCGCACTGAGGGCTTGGTGAGCAGGTGATGAGAGCTGGTCACCGTAGGTGAGAGTCTATGACGAAAGACACCACCCGGACCTCTGGGAGTGCCGAGTACCTGGTCCGGTTCCAGAGTCGACCTCCTCCCGCGGCACGAGAGATAAGCAAAGTCACAATCGAGGCCTGTATACTGGGAGTCGGGCCGAGCGTCGTCGGCGACGGGAGCCATTGTGCCTCGGAGAGCCACATGACGAATGATTCCAGACCTGGCAACAGCACCGCCCGGGATCAACATCACAGTAATTGGCGAACACCATCACCGGGAGCGACACCAGGCTATGGCTTCTCGAGGGCACGAGAGGACCATGGAGACGGCCGGTCATATTAGACATGGCCGCAGGTACCTGCAGCTTATCTGCTGCGGGGAGCAACGCGTCCCACCGCGTCACGTTCCCACATTCCCGGTATCTGCATAAGCTCTGGCGCAAGCTCTGGCTCAGCGGTGTCCTTGACCGAAGTCACCGCCGTGACGTGAGATCTGCCGTGAGACGTTGCCAAGGACGAGCCTGCCCTACTAAGAATGACGGAATCTGTGCAGTTGGCACTGCTGCGCACTTGCATCGGCTCAGACTCGCAAGTCAAGTCAGGCAGCGGACACAAACTGTCCAGACTCGAAGCATGCTTTGTTTGCGCTTAGCACACGCCGAGCCGGGCGAGCCGACAGGCTATGAACCCAAAGCCTAACTGGCGACGACTATGGTGTCCCGTTGCCTGGCGAGATAGCAGGCTTGTTGGAGATGTTTTCCAGCTCCAGGGTAAGCCGGGAACCCATGGGTACCCACGGTGCCAATATCACACTACCCAAGGCGAGCAACCTCGGGCCTGCACGCTGTGGTGTTGCATTCCCAAGGCCCGACGCCGAGCTAACATCTCTGGATTAGGCAGTCAGGAAGTAGACGAACCAGTTGAAGCTCAAGCTCTAGCACTGGAATGGGGCCTTCTGGCCAGGAACGCCGGCGTCGTCAGTGTGCACTCGTCATTTGTGAGCATAGTCGCTGAGCCTGGTATAAACTTCTGATTCATCCTCTGCTTCTTTCTATTCCCACTGTCGTCTTAAGCAGTAGTGCCAATAACGACAGAAGTCAGAGGGATGGCGTTGGGGCTTGTGCGGAGACGGGTCTTGCCGCCATTTTCGGCGCCAAAACCGATGCAGAAAGCTGAAGGTCAGCTACGCTATTTCGACATGGGACTCACCGCCGCTCTCCTCCGTGCAGAGGTTGTCGCCCTTCCAGATCCAACGGTTGCTGTACTCGGGAGTGGTGCAATCGGTGAACATAAGCGGAGAGCCGTGCTCCCTCGAGAAGTCTAGTGGTTAGCTTTTGGCGCTCATATTACGATAGCGAGGACCCGATTGAACCTTAACTGGCTGGCTTGGTTTCTGCCTTACCTCACCAAGCGGGAGCATGCAGCCAGGCGCAAGCCCGCGCATCTTTACTCACCTCGGAGGTCGAAGCCGACGCAACGGTCCAAGCCGAGCAGAGTCAGGTGGTAGTAACCGTCCTCGAGAGGCTTCCAGATCCACGAACCGAAGTCGCCCCGGCACTGCGACGCCGTGACGGGCTCGCCGAGGTTGCCCGCGACATCGTCGTCGAGACAAAGACCGGCGTCCTGTACCTTGACGGGAACAAAGAAGATGCTCTCATGACCTGGCTCAACCTGACCGGGTTTGGGCGGGACAGGGCCAGCGAGCGCCGTCAGCGCGACGGAGAGAGTAAGGAGAAGGCTGCCGAGCATTGTTATGTTGGGGATATTGATGTAGGTGATGTTTGCGTTCTTGAAGTTGTTGGGGATGTCTTGTGCCTCACCCCGGGCATGTTTTATACCCCCTCCTCGACGCACCTCTCCGCACTGATCGGAGTCATCGCCGAAGCTATCCCCTCTCCGAACGGCTTAGCGAGGCTATCAAACGTCACATGTCCTGCGCAAACTGAAGACTGGGGGGGCTTCGAACACTCGAAGTTTGATGTTCCAGCCCTGACTAGTCCTGAATTGTCAAACGCACACCTGAAGGAGTCGATGAAAGGAAGCATCCTCATCTTCACCGAACTTTCGTACCAGCTATCAAAGACGCGGGAGCACTAGCGGCAGCAGACAGGGAAATTGTAGATCTGGCGCCTTCCTGAGGCGGCGTGCTGACCTCGTGTTGCCCAGGTGTCATTTAGGCGCCGGCGAGGGGGCCCGGAACTGTCTCGGAGAGCCGGAGCATGCACCGAGCGCGAGAGTGAACTTTCGCAGCTCCGAGCGCATGAGCATCACATTCATCGGGCGGAGCAGGCTGATATCTTGGGTAGGCCAAACCAAAAGACTGGGCACGCACTCCCGTGCAATTCATTCATTTTATGTACCCCCTCACGCTTCAGCCCAGTGAGTGTGTTCCCACATGTGCCTGCTACTGAAGCTAACTTTGCCCGCTGCGCCGGTTATCTCCAGACCAATACTGGCGAAGAACGAAGATACGCACGCTGGTCCATCAACTCCCGAATGCAGAAGACGATGAGCCTGGCCGTTTTCAGACGCCACTGTCATCATTACTGGAGCCTAAGACATATGGAACCACAGGAAATGAGCTTTAGGCTTTGAAGCTTCTCGAGGACCCCACAGACCAACAGACGTCGCACAACGTCGACAGCCAACGAAAAGCGTTGGTGCCACTTGTGTGGGGCTTTCGTCCGTGTGGATGACTTCAACGCCACTTATCTCATGGATACAAAAGCAGTCCCCGACCCCATCTTGGCTTTAGGCTCCGCGAAAAGAGGTTCTGGGCATGCATGTGATCATAGCCTCCATGAACGTGCTCCGCTCACGCGGCGGCGTACAGCGCACAGCTCCTATGAAGCGCACGGCTAAACTTGTCCGTCGCCATGCTCGCCAGGAGATAGTGAGATAGTGCTATTCAAACTCTGTGTCCGAGGTCCTCTCCGCAGCACACTTGCTTTGCGTTAGTCACCAGCCGAGGGCGAGCCGAGAAGCGCTCCGAGCGATGTTGACGACAGTGGTGGAGTCGTAAGCAAGCCGGTTGAAGAACGGCTGCGCTCCGGGCCGTACTTCGGCCCGGTGTCACCGTCTCCGGCTCGATAGCGAACTGGGATTTCGAAGTCAGGTCCCACATTGCTCTCCAAATTGCGTGCCCAGCCCAACCAACTGCTTAAGGACCTACGCCTCTGTGCTGGCAGGTCCTTCGGCGTATTGGAGAGAGCAGAACCGGAGCCTCGTCCAGGAACGACCAAAAGAAATCACACACGTCGAACAGCTATGGTGAAATGGTATCATGCATCGTTGCCACTCGTCCGCAGCACTCAATGAGGAGCTGAGAATTGCGACTCGATGCGGTGGGGGTTCGATTCCCCCTGGCTGTAGTCTTTTGCTTGTTCTTGGACGTCGAGCGACCGGAGAAGACGTAGGATGACTGGGAAACATCTTCCCTCGCCGCCACAGGGGTAAGAATCGGGGACTCTCAGATTGGGAGTGGCCGATTCGTCCTCAGTCACTGGCTGAGAGCTGTGAGGATGCTGAGAGGGCCATCAGCTGTCAGAAACCTCATGTGACCTACGCCGGACTCATGGAGCCTTGCTCTGACCGGCTCAAGGGAGCCGTTCAACTGTTCGGATGAGCCGGCGGTCCGTGTTGTTGGTAAGATGAAGCACCCTCAAACTGACAACTACATGACCTCCTTCTCAGTAGCTACCGAGCGATGCCAACACACTTGCCTTAAGCCTGGGGTACTTCCTCTGACATGCTCATACTGCTGTTCCCGGCAATGTCGATAGCACATCTCATGAGCTTGATTCTCGCACAGGTCGCGCAGTCGCAGGGCACTAGCGACCAGGCCCCTCATCTCCGCACTGGTCGGCCCCGCATAGACCTCGGCGTCATGAAAGCTGTGCTTCTTCATGGTAGGTGCGTCTGCGAACAACATACTCAGAAGTGCATGTGCATGGTGTCCACTGCGTTCTTGAATCTGGCCTTGCGTTCGAAGATCTTGGCAACAACACACGCTCCTTCTCCTTCTCTCCTTCGACTCCAATCACCTGCTTTAACCTTCAACTTCACCTTTCCAAATCACGACAATCTTGACGATGGTCGCGCTTTCTCTTTTATTCCTTACGGCTCTTCCTGCGTTCGCTTTCACTAGCCCAGTCGAGCGAGACTCGAACGACACTTCCGTTACGGTTGCGGAAGCCGAGGCGAGCGCCTTGACGGGCGCCTCGGCCGCTACCGAGTCGTCTGCCGTCTCTACCGCGCAGTCCAACAAGATCCAGCTTAAGGGCAACACCCTCTGTCTTGAAACCATGGACAGCAGCGAGGTGTACATTAAGCCCTGCGGCGACGGCGCGGCACAGAAGTGGATCTGGGAGGCGGCTGGCGATAAGGGCGGGGTGCCGCATTTCACGATCAAGAGCGAGGTTGAAGGCGTGTGCCTGTCCAAGGAACCTGTTTCCGGTGAGCTCCCTGATGGAGATATTACAGCAAGAGCTGACAACAGGCCGCCCCGACTACATCTCCACCCGTCTGCGTGCCGTGCTTGAGTCGTGTGGAACCGCTTACACCTGGGGCTGGTATGGCGATCGCCTCTGCATTCGGGATTGTGAGTCGCCCACCATGGAAGCAGAAACGACGCCTCTGCGCGCAGCATGATTCACCTTTCCAAATCACGACAATCTTGACGATGGTCGCGCTTTCTCTTTTATTCCTTACGGCTCTTCCTGCGTTCGCTTTCACTAGCCCAGTCGAGCGAGACTCGAACGACACTTCCGTTACGGTTGCGGAAGCCGAGGCGAGCGCCTTGACGGGCGCCTCGGCCGCTACCGAGTCGTCTGCCGTCTCTACCGCGCAGTCCAACAAGATCCAGCCAAGGGCAACACCCTCTGTCTTGAAACCATGGACAGCAGCGAGGTGTACATTAAGCCCTGCGGCGACGGCGCGGCACAGAAGTGGATCTGGGAGGCGGCTGGCGATAAGGGCGGGGTGCCGCATTTCACGATCAAGAGCGAGGTTGAAGGCGTGTGCCTGTCCAAGGAACCTGTTTCCGGTGAGCTCCCTGATGGAGATATTACAGCAAGAGCTGACAACAGGCCGCCCCGACTACATCTCCACCCGTCTGCGTGCCGTGCTTGAGTCGTGTGGAACCGCTTACACCTGGGGCTGGTATGGCGATCGCCTCTGCATTCGGGATTGTGAGTCGCCCACCATGGAAGCAGAAACGACGCCTCTGCGCGCAGCATGAACGTACTGACATCTCAGGGTACTGCCTGGGCGTCGACGCCTCAACCCCTAGAGACGGCTCCGGTCTCCGCTTTTACGGAAATGCCCAGTGGACTGCGTCCGCGTAGAGCAACGCCTCGCTACTAATCAGCAATTTAGAGGGGGCTGGAGACCTCATGCGGAGCTCGGACCCCGATTTGTGTCACTCTTTTGTCTTTCTGGTATGATATCCATGTGTCTGAACTATGGGTGGTGAGGCTGCTCACAAGTTCTGCGGTTGTTCTTGATCTACTGATCCACTTTTAACTGCCAACGACACATGTCGGGACGGGTTTCTGAAACGAGCCTGGTCTGACAGATGATGTCATGTTTCGCCTCTCTGTCTGGTTTCATGTTCATGGTACGCTTCCCCTTGGGCCTACAGGGAGCCATTCACGCTTTGCTGTCGCACGATTCACGGAAATCGCCGCGTAGCATTGCAGAGCATGCAGAGAAGACCACGCTTTGTTCATTCACGAGAGGCTCGGGCGGGTTGGTGCTGGAGTCGCGCGGCCACCTTAGTTGGTGTAGGCTTCCGTTCGCCTTATGGTTTCACCTGATTGGGAGGGTGACACTTCCACCCGGACCTCCACCTGCCAATCCATTATTGTCCGTCTGCTCATCAACGTCCCATCAGACATCAGGCTTCCCCTTCAGCACTCACTTCACCCGCCAACATGAGCATGGGATTTGGGGGGATCGACTTCAACGATCCCCGTTCTTTCCAACACCTGCTGGGAAGTCACCTGCCCATCCCCGAAGCTATCTCTCCAGCTGAAGTCAGGCGGCAGGCGAGGAATCGACGCGACAATGTCCTTTCCTCCTACAAGAAGCTCAATGACATCCTTTCGCGTCACGAGGCTACCATCCAGAAACGATGGGCCAAGAAGAGTAAAACTGCCAGGACCAAGCTTCTTCTCGATTGCTGGCCTGGCATGGCCAAGTCGCACCGTCCCGACTATGCGGCTTATCGCGAGGAACGCCCGCAACCCGGCCGTGGTACGACCACCAAGTACCGCGACTCCTATCTGTGGCCCAACATCAACCAGGAGGATCTCTCGGGTCCCCGTGCTTTCCTGGTTCTCCTCAATGCTCGTGGACGGAACCACCCATCCAAGTTCGCCTGCGCCGACGGCGAGTCCTTCCACCTTGGCATCGTGTCCACCGTCATCGTCCCGCTCTTCCTCAACGAATACACTATGATGCTGAACGATGTTGAGGATGAGAGATATGGACAGCTGCTTAGCTGGGATGATCACCCTGACGCTTTCAACTGGATGCACGAGCTGCAGCAGTTCAACCCGGGGGAAGGGCTCCTGGTCCTCGAAATCCAAGAGCGCGTGCTCGGTTTTCTCGTCAAGTGCTGCAAAGCCCTCTTCCATGACATTCCTCCCGATAAGTTCCTGTCGGAAGAGTATCCGCCCCAACCAATGCCTGAGCTGAAGCCGCCTGCCGAGACGGATGTTGCCGACTCTCGAGCCCTCATGCGGGAGGAGGAGGCGTACCGACTGCCTGCACGTCTCAACATGAGCCGTATCACGACCGTCCTTCAGGCTCAAGCCGACGCTGCCGCCGATCACTTCTGGCTTCTACGTGAAGACCCTGGATACTTTGCGGACGAGCTCCTCGATGCGAAAGACCATCGACAAGAGATGATGAAGGACACTCGCGGAGAAGCTCATCCTATCTTGTCCCCGCAGCGTCAAGATACCTTCTGGAGCCGCGTCATATCCGCTTCCTTGACTCAGGACTACGCCAGCCTTGAGTTCTCAGCTGAGCTGGCACACCAAGCAGGTGTGGTGAAGGCTCTGATGGACAAGCGCACCCCGACGAGCTCTCGCGACGAACTGCCAAACGATCTGCTTGTCGCCTTCCTTACGTTCCGCCACCATCTCACGGAGTGTGCCAAATGGATACGCGGTGTGCTAAAGTCCGAGTTCCCGGGCTCTCCGCCAATGCGTGGGCTTTACGAGCGTTTACCGCCGCCCGATCCCCATACACCTATGATCCGCCTTCAAAGCAAGCCCCACGCCATGAGCGACGACGAGAAGTACTTCAACTACCTCATGATGCTGCTCTGGGACGATCAGCAGATCTTCCTTTTTCGTCTCCCATTGCTCATGGATGAGATCGACCGTCATCTTCCGGCAGTGCGCAGCATCATCTCGCCCCGCGTCGCCAAACTCATTGGGAGCTTGTCCATCGTTGCGCAATGTTTGAGAGAGATCGAGCAGTTCCACCCTTGGGCGCGGTCCTTTGAGATGAAGTTGCCCGAGCACGACAAGGCTATCGAGAAGAGCTATGCCAAATGGGTTTCGCCTCTGCAGCAGATTCTGAAGGCCATTGCCGCCAACTCGCTCAAACTCGTCAGCTTGGTATCGAATCCGAAGGAGCGCTTCGAGTATCCTTCCGATAAGCGCGAGACCAAGGACGTCGTCGACACCAAGCGGGCTTCTGAGCAGAAATTGGACAGATTCTGGTCCATCACGGACACGCACATCTCAAAGAGCTGTGGAAACCTCGACAACACCGCCTTTGCCTCGCTGTTTACTCGAGAGCTCCGTCGTACTGGCTACTGGGTCGAGCCGCCGGCCAAGGCGAAGGCTCCCATTAGTGTTGAGGTCTTGCACAAGCCTCTATCTGAGTTGACACTGGTCAGTGACCGATCGACTGAGCCTTACCGTTCCGAAGAACGTAGGGTGAAGGTCAAGACGCGCGGCGTCCCCCAGCTGCCAGACTCGGGTAGCACCGCGGGAAAGCCCGACAACGAGGATTCGGAAGCGACGCAGATTGGAGTCGACGCACGCGCGCTTAAGACGTTCCGCAATCTCTTCTTCAACCCCAACGTGTCTGCCACGCCGGGCGAGATTCCTTGGAAGGAGTTCCGGCACGCGATGAACGCAGCTGGCTTTGAACCGCAGAAGCTCTACGGCTCGGCATGGCAGTTCCAAAGTCCCGCCTCAACGCTTGTCTTCCACGAGCCGCACCCGAACCCGAAGATTCCTATTCGGCAGGCTCGTCGGATGGGGCGCCGTCTCTCGAGGGCTTTTGGATGGGACATCGACACCTTTGTGCTTCAGGACAAGTCCAACGGAGCTTGATAGCTCCTACTACCTTCTTCGTTGAAACCCACCTGTACAATAGACGCATGTTTACGAATCCAGCCAAGCGCTATGTGTATGCAACCTGTGCATTCGAAGCAGCCGGAGCCTGCCCAGCCACCACGACTATGAAACCCACCTCGCGGCCATCTCGTTCCAGCTGGGCGCCACGACAAGCACCTTGACACCGTTATTGGCCGGCCCATCGAGCTGCATGCAATACGAGTCCTTGCCATTGTGGTGGTAGGCGCACAACTTGTTCTGAGGGTGCAGGTACCACCCGACGCCATCCCTGGCGCAGTCAACGAGCACGAGGTCCGTCATCCAAAGGCTATCCGGGTCAGCGGTGGCAAAGGGCTCGTCATCTGGAGTGTGTCAGCGAACCTTCCTTCTCAATCGGCCTCCCCCCGCGTACTCGAGCAATGAGCGGAGAGATGCAAACATACCCTTAGTCTTGAAACCCAGACAGTATCCGCTGTGCTCCATATCGACCTGCGACCCGGCCCAGCGAATGCGCGAGAACTGCGATTCGCCCATCAAGTCTCCAGGATCGAGCACGCGGGTCGGATACTCGACGACCCAGCGCTGGTACGGTCCGCCATGGCACTCCCAGATCTGGACCACGGCGCCAATCTCGCTGACGCCGTCGCGGACGTCCATGCAGTAGTTTGAGCCTTGGATTTGGAAGCCGATGGGGACCAGCTGGGCGGCTGTGAGTGCCGCTGACGATAGGGCTGTGAGGAGGGTGGAGAGGAGCATGGTGGTGGTCTACGGGGTCGCCGCCACTGGTCGCGGTGACGGCGTTCATATAGGTTTGGCGGGAATGTATTGTGCGATGCCGTCGGGTAGATGACCATGGTAGTGGCAGGCCGTCCGAACCACCACGGACGGGAGGTCAATGGCATTGCTGGCCCGACGCCGATGCTCGGAGGTCTGAGGGTGCGTCAGGTTGCCTTTCGGGGCAACTCATTGTTCGAAATGGAATGCTTCACAACCGGTTGCATTCCTCGCAACGGCCGCCAGGACTAGAACGACAAATGGCCCTAGCAGGCACAACGACGACATAAGGACACAGTGCAGCTCGAGTGGCCACAAAAAGACTGTGCCACCAGGTAATGGTCTTCGTGCACGCGCGCAAAGAGACGGTCAAGACCGCGCAGAAGCTGAAGGAGATGGCGACCGAGGAGGGTGCGCTCGACGTCTTCGACACGAGAGACCATCCGAAGTTCCAGCTCTACCGCCGAGACGTCGGCACGTCGCGTAACAAGGAGATGAAGGAGCTGTTCGACTATGGCTTCGGTATCCACCACGCCGGTATGCTTCGCTCAGACCGCAACATGATGGAGCGCATGTTCGAGGACAACGCGATCAAGGTACTCTGCTGTACCTCGACGCTCGCCTGGGGTGTGAATTTGCCCGCACATGCTGTCATTATCAAGGGCACGCAGGTGTACGACTCAAATAAGGGTTCGTTCCAGGACCTCTCCGTTCTCGATGTGCTGCAGATCTTCGGTCGTGCCGGTCGTCCAGGATACGAGACCTCCGGTGTCGGTTACATCTGTACCACTCAGGACAAGCTCGACCACTACCTCTATTCGATCATGTCTCAGCAGCCAATCGAGTCCAAGTTCATCCCCGGATGTCCGAAAGGTACGGTGCAGTACTGGCTAGTTGGGACAGGCGGACGCGGCGAATTGAACCGGGATCCTTGTGGCACCACTGATGCTCAGCCGTGCCTGGCTGACTTCACCCATGCGCCGTCAAAAATAAACCCCTCCTGCTCGCCATTCGCTGCATCCCCATGCATGCGCTTCGTGCGCATAACATGAGGGATGCAAGGGGACGCCAAAGCATGCAAAAAGAGACGACATTGACATGATTCGAACATGCGCTCCCGAAGGAAGTTGATTCCCGAATCCCTCTCCGAAGAGAGACCATTCTAGTCAACCGCGTTAACCACTCCGCCACAATGCCGATGGTAGTTCCATGTTTGGGTGCGGGCTCGCTGCATTATATCATGCTGCACAGGGGATTTTACGTAAGCTCACTCCTCTGCTCGCAGGGACCGGCTGCTGAGACTAGGCATCCGAAAGGGAGCACGGCAGACTGGAGGTGATGCTGAGAATAGCTCATGGTGGCGTCAGGTCAGCGAAAGCGCTGGTGGTCAATGGAGCAGCACATGCCATGCGCGCATGACATTGGCTAGCCCTTATAAGAGTGGCAGACTCGCTCTACAAGTCCTCTAGAGTAGTGTGTGCAGCTGAGGCGCAACGCCCGAACAGCGGACACTGGAGCATCCTCGAGCCCAGATGTAAAATAGAATACTCCTGTACGACGCAGGTTTGACGCGTAGTCAACGCTCATTCCACCTTCTTGCGCATGAACATGGTGGCTTGCGGGTTGTCGTTATACCGCTCGCAGTCCTCGTATCCCATGCGTCGGTAGAACTTGATCGCCGCGGTGAGGTCGTCCTTTGTGTCGAGGTAGACCCACTCGTAGCCCTGCTCCTTCGCGAACTGGTCGAGTTGCTCCAGCAGCTTGTCTGCGATACGCAGCCCGCGAGCTTCAGGAAGGACGTAGAGACGCTTGACCTCAGCTGTTCGCTCAACGCCCGGTACGTGGATGGGTCGAAGGATGATGCAGCCTACAACCTTTCTCCCCGAGCTAGTGTCCTGCTCGGCGAGCCACAGGCCAGAGTCGGGGTTGAAGTACTTGGCGAATCCCTCCGGAGTGTCGCGAACGATGACACCAATCTCCTCGTTGTACGCTGTGACAATCGACCACGCAGCGTCCTTGTCGGCCTCGGACGCACGGTAGATCCGAATTCCCGCGTCTCCCATAGCGCTAGCGGTGCTTGCAGTGAGCTTTGGATAGTTGCTCAGGTGGGCATACTCCTCGGGTCATGATCTCGAGTTGGTGCTTGGTTACGAAATCAATCACGTGAGTGCGGGGCTCCTTTATTTCGGATCCGGAGAGGTGACGACACAACCTACAAAATCAGGTTCGCGATGTCTGGTCTCCTCCGCAACAATCACAAGCAAGACAATGTCTGCCGACGCCTACCTTGACAGCCTCGTCGGCGACCCAGGACCTAGTACCACCGCTCATCGAGAGTGGGAGTCCCTTCTCGCGGGTTGGGACGGCCAGCTGTAAGCTCGTGAGAAATGGTCTGCGAGCTAATAGCAGCGATGACTCGGTGCCGTTCCCGGAAAGGACGCCTTGGCCGACTCTGCAAAGCGTGCTTAACTCTGACAAAGTCGTCAATGATGTCGCCGAGAAGATTTCCACTGTTCGCATTGTTGAGCCGGAGCCGGAACATGAGGAACCCGACCTCAACACCTCCGCTCTTCTTGCTCGTTTGCACAGGTATGCTCCTTGGGGCTAATGGCCTTCGAAATGCTGACCCCAGGCACCTCCAACCCGGAGCTTACATTTCTCTGATGGAGCTTCTCGCTTCTCCTCGGGGTGAAATGGACATCCAGAGCGAGCTTGTTGAGACGCTTGGCTTTGAGGGTGAGGGTCTGTCGCTCGTCGAAGAGCTTCTGCGCCCCGGTGTCCGTCAGGCGCTAGTTTCCAGCTCGAAGGGGAAGAAGAAGGGCGCAACCCCATCTGCCTCTGGACATGCAACTCCACGTAAGCGCAAGGGCAAGATCGACATCACGGACGTGATCGGCACGGCGGAAGACATCGAGCGCCGCATCCAGGAGCAGCTTAATCGGCCGAAAGCTATGTTCGTTGAGGAAAGCCAACAGCGTTCACTACAACAGGCAGAGAAGCTGCCGAATGTCTTCACCAGTAGCTCTACGATGCCTGCGCTTAGCTACGGTGGCAAGATTGCCCTTCCGCAAGGCACAGAACGAGAGCAAACCGACGCGTTTGAGGAGGTCACCGTGCCTCCGCCAACGATGGTGCCACCCAAGATGGGCGAGAAGCCCGTCATGATCAACAGCCTTTCACCCCTCGCCCAACGCTGCTTCCCCAAGTATGTCAGCCTCAACCGCATGCAGTCGGTCGTCCACCCGACCGCGATGGGCACGAACGAGAACATGCTCGTGTGTGCGCCTACTGGTGCGGGTAAGACGGATGTCGCTCTCATGTCGATTCTGCGCGTGCTCGAGAGCCATCTGCTTCCTGGACCTGGATTCAAGATCGACAAGGACAAGTTCAAGATCATCTATGTTGCCCCCATGAAGGCGCTCGCGGCCGAAATCACGCGCAAGTTCGGCAAGCGTCTGCAGTGGCTGGGTATCCATGTCCGCGAGCTTACGGGAGACATGCAGCTCACTCGCGCGGAGATCAACGAAACTCAGATCATCGTTACGACGCCCGAGAAATGGGATGTCGTCACGCGCAAGCCGACCGGTGAGGGCGAGCTCGCCTCCAAGGTCCGTCTTCTCATCATCGATGAGGTGCACCTGCTCAATGAAGAGCGTGGTGCGGTCATCGAGACCATTGTTGCGCGTACGCTTCGCCAGGTCGAGTCAAGCCAGTCCCTAATTCGTATCGTCGGCCTGTCGGCCACACTGCCCAACTACATTGATGTTAGCGACTTCCTCAGGTAAGCTAACTCAAGGAGGGCTTGAAGCTGACGCCAGGGTGAACCGATACCAGGGATTATTCTTCTTCGATGCGTCGTTCCGTCCCGTGCCGCTCGAGCAGCACTTTATCGGAGTGAAAGGAAAGGCGCGCAGCCAGACGCAGATCCGCAACATGGACAACGTCGTGTTTGACAAGGTTCTGGAGATGGTACGGGAGGGCCACCAGGTAATGGTCTTCGTGCACGCGCGCAAAGAGACGGTCAAGACCGCGCAGAAGCTGAAGGAGATGGCGACCGAGGAGGGTGCGCTCGACGTCTTCGACACGAGAGACCATCCGAAGTTCCAGCTCTACCGCCGAGACGTCGGCACGTCGCGTAACAAGGAGATGAAGGAGCTGTTCGACTATGGCTTCGGTATCCACCACGCCGGTATGCTTCGCTCAGACCGCAACATGATGGAGCGCATGTTCGAGGACAACGCGATCAAGGTACTCTGCTGTACCTCGACGCTCGCCTGGGGTGTGAATTTGCCCGCACATGCTGTCATTATCAAGGGCACGCAGGTGTACGACTCAAATAAGGGTTCGTTCCAGGACCTCTCCGTTCTCGATGTGCTGCAGATCTTCGGTCGTGCCGGTCGTCCAGGATACGAGACCTCCGGTGTCGGTTACATCTGTACCACTCAGGACAAGCTCGACCACTACCTCTATTCGATCATGTCTCAGCAGCCAATCGAGTCCAAGTTCATCCCCGGTATGGTGGATGCCCTCAATGCTGAGATCTCTCTTGGCACTATCGCCAACGTGCGCGAGGCTATCTCGTGGATTGGTTACACTTATCTCTTCGTGAGAATGAGACGAGAGCCGTTCATCTATGGTAAGCTTCCGTGAGTTCGTCACAAAGCTGACAACAGGCATGTCCCATGATGAGCCCAAGGATGACCCCCAGCTCGGAAACAAGCGCAGTGATCTCGTCACGCAGGCCGCCCGTACACTTGCGGCTGCTAAGATGGCGACGTTTGACGAGTCGAATAACTCGTTTGCCATTACGGACCTCGGCCGCATCGCTGCGCGTTACTATCTGCGCCATCAGACTGTCGAGGTCTTCAACGAGAAGTTCAATCCTCGTATGAAGAACGCCGACATCTTCGCAATGCTGTCGCAAGCGACTGAGTTCGCGCAGATCCAGATCCGCGACAATGAGGTTGACGAGCTCACCAACATCATGAACTCGGACAACTGCCCGATGGAGGTGAACGGAGGCGCGACGAGCGCGCAGGGCAAGGTGAACATTCTCCTGCAGGCGTACATCTCGAAGGTCTTCATTGAGGACTTTGCTCTCGTATCGGACTCGGCGTACGTTGCACAGAACGCCGGCCGTATCATCCGAGCCCTACTCGAGATCGCGCTCAGCCGCAACTGGGCGAACTGCGCGCTACTCCTGATCGACCTCAGCAAGGCGATCGAGAAGCGCATGTGGCCATACGACCACCCGCTCGGTCAGCTGAACACACTGCAGCGCGATACACTCTACAACCTCCGGCGCTGGGCGGACGACACAGAGATCCAGGAGCTGCGCGAGATGGAGCCGAAGGAGCTGGGTGAGCTTGTGCACCTGAACCCGATCCACGGTGCGGCGCTCCGCAATGCGGCACTCATGTTTCCAACCATCGGTGTTTCGTACGCGCTTCGCCCGCTCGCGCACGACCTGCTCCAAATTAGCGTGACCGTCGAGCCGCAGTTCACGTGGAACACCAAGGTGTCAGGATCGAGCGAGCCATTCTATGTCTGGGTGCAGGACGAGGAGGGGCTGCACATCTTGCAGTGGCGCAGCATTCTGCTCCGGCAGACGTCGACCGCGATGGACATTGACTTCGTCATCCCCTGGAGCGGCGAGCACCAGAGCCTGTCGATTGTGACGGCATCGGACCGCTGGCTCGGGAGCGACAGCCAGACCTCCGTCTCGCTCGCCGACCTCGTCATGCCCGCTGCCTTTGACGAACGCACGCCGCCTCTCGACCTACCATTCCTCAGCATTTCGGCCGTCGACGATCCAGACATCGAGAAGCAGTACCGCCCTTACATTACGATGTTCAACACGTTGCAATCGCAGTCGTTCTGGTCCGTATACCACACTCAGAACAATATCCTCATCTCTGCCCCAGTCGCTAGCGGCAAATCGCTCATGGGTGAGATGGCCATGTGGCATGCTCTCCGCCACCAGTCTGACGCCTTCATTCTCGCCATTGTGCCGGGCAACCGGTCGTCAGCCGAGGCCGCTGCCCGACTGCGCCATGTCCTCGGCAAGCGGGCCAAGGTCATCCTCGCCCGCAATTCGAAGGAGTTCGAGGCAGGAGCGGAGGAGACCGGCGCCCGTGTACTCGTCGCCACGCCCGGCGCCTTTGACGACATCGTCGGTGAGAAGCTCACCAGCCTCGCGACGCGCCTCTCGCTCATCGTGCTCGAGGACCTGCACCTGCTCGACGCCTCCTATGAGCTGTCGATCATCAAGCTACTCACCATCGCAAAGCCTGCGCGCACGCGCATTGTCGGTCTGACGTGCTCCCTGTCCAACCCTTCGGACCTGGCTTCTTGGCTCGGTGTCGAGTACAACTACCGCTACTGCTTCACGCCGCAGGACCGCTCCTCCCCGCTCGTGGTCAGCACGCGCGTGTTCAACCTCCCTCACGGCCTCGGCTTGCTCAAATCGATGATCAAGCCGACCTACGACCTCATCAAGAGCACGGGCAGTGCTATCGTTTTCACCCCAAGTGCTTCAAGCGCTCGTGCCGTCGCGGCTGACCTTGTGACGCAAAGCGGTACCGAGTTCGACCTGAACGGGTTCCTGTCTGCGCCTCGCGCGGACGTCGAACCGCTGCTCGCCAACCTGGCCGACTCGGAGCTGCTGGAGCCCCTCCTCCATGGTGTGGGCTACGTCGTGCCGACAATGCGGGCGCGTGACCTGGCGCTCGTGCTCGAGCTGTATGCTGCGGGCATTGTGCGCGCGCTCATTGCTCCCCGCACGCAGGCGTGGAAGCTGCCCGTGCGTGCCGAGACCGTCGTGCTCGCCGGCGCGCAGTACCTCCACTTCAGGGGTGAGGAGCGCATGCTGCGCAACTACTCGAAGCACGAGCTGGTCAAGATGCAGGGCTTTGCCGCGCAGTCGGCGTCGCCCACCTCGCCCGCCGGACGGATGGTCGTCATGTGCCAGGCCGAGCAGGTCGTGAGCATCCGTCGCCTGCTGAACGACGGTCTCAGCCTCGAGTCGGCCCTTCCCTCTGTGCTCGACCCGGCGCTCGCGCCGCTCATCCCCTCGCCCGTGTCTGCTAACACTGGACGTGGGCGCGATGGCCACGCCAGCATCGAGGAGCACGAGCGCCACGTCCTCGGCCGCATGCTCGTGTCCCGCCCCAAGCCGAGGCCGATCCAGCCCCACCGGCCCCGCGATGTCGATCTCCGCGCCCGCGACCTCATGGACCTCCTTAGCTGGAGCTACCTCGTGCGCCGGATCCGAACGAACCCCTCGTTCTACGACGCGAGGGAGGGCGAGGAGCGCGAACTCGTCAGCCGCTGGATCGACGCCTTCTTCGTCAACAGGGAGGAGCGTGAGCGTGGGCATGCCCAGAAGCCTGCCAAGGACCGTCCCAAACTCGAGGTCGTCGAGGGGTACGGGCAGCCGCAGGAGAAGAAGGACAAGGACGACGAGCACGAGGAGAAGGTCCTTGTGCCTCGGGTGCTTGCCGAGGAGGAGTACGTCATCGAGGACGGCGACGAGGACGAGGGCGACAGCGATTAGAGCCTAGCTAGAGTTCAGTACGACGGAAGACGCCGCGGCCCATGGCCAATGCTAGATGAAATGCAAATTACACACTCTACAGACTGCGCCAAACTACGCTTAGAAGCCCTTCATCTCGAGCCACGCCTTGAGCTCGGGGACCCAGCGGCCCTTCACCTCGATCTGGCGCGAGGTCGGCTTCAGAATCGCACTCGGCGCCGGCGTGATCGGGTCAATGTGTCCGGCGGCAAGGTACTCGTTCAGCTCTCCCTTGAGCGTCTGCTGTTAGCTGGGCCTCGACTAGAACGGCGTGTGCTAGGGCCATATGGAACTTCGAAAGGAGGCGAATTGAGATAGGAGTTGATGGACGGAGTTGCGGGAGATCAAGCTCGTCGCCCAGGTCGCTCGAGACACTACGACCTTTCCCAAGCCCTTTTTGTACTGGCAAAAACCCCGCAGGTCTTGGGGTGGTAAGGAGAAGCCTGTCTGCTTCCACCTGAGGATGTACTTCCGTCCATGACATCTGACCATCACGATGTCGTCACGATCAACAGAGCGGTTCGATGGCAGCCACAAGGAGCAAGCTCCTGTGAAACTCGAACCAGTAGTCGTAACACTGCCAGACAATCTCCCTTACTCCTGTCGAGGAACTGCGACAGGACAGCACAGCACCCGAGACAGCAAAAGGGACAGCACTGGCAATAGCCCTCGCCTTCCTCCGGATGAGCTCCGAACCTGCTTTGCGCCGGCTGCTTTGGATCTCCACTGTGCCCCCGCCCAATCTCTATCTCTTCCCAGAGCAAAACTCACCTCGGCGCTCCCCCGAATCCTCCGGATGATGGTCCTGGTGGCGTTGCCCTTGACGTCCGAGTAGACGGGCAGGGTTCCGTTGGCGGTGCGCTCGACAATGTAAGCTGTGGACTGTTGCGGGGCCGCCTGGGTCGAGTTGAAGCGGACGGCGCGGGCGGCACGGATAGCGCGGGAAGACGACGAGGCGAACGTGCGAAGCATGGCGGTGAGCTAGTTGCCGTTTGTGAAGGTTGTTGTTGGCGGATAAGCTGAGTCTGGACGAACTTTTCGACATTTCGGGAGATCAGCGAGGACGAGAGAGGAGTAGCGGCAAGGTACAGCCAGGCACGGCGCCACGTGGAATTGATCCCGTTCCTCGGACTGCCATCCCAGGCACCTCATCCTAGGCAGTAGCTGCAGTGGTGATGCAAAGTTGAGTCATCTCGGTGTATGTTTGGCACGGCGTGCTCTTGGCCATGGGTGGCGACTAGCGTGCATTTGGTGGTGAGCCGCGGCTCCGAGTGACATCAACACTGCAGCCTTAAGCCCTACTGCCTCTGCGCTTCCTTCTTTTCACACACTCCCTAGCCTCCAGTACAACTTGTGCATAGTCCTCTACCCTCGAGAACCTTGCTGAAACCACCTTTCGCCACTTGACCCACATCGGTCTAACTTGGGCAATACGCCAGGAGTCGTTGGCCCTCTGCTTTGTGCGACACCTCGCACGCCTATGCTTTGGCCCTATGGCGCCAGCCAGCTCTTCACCTGACGGCGGCGCCGTACCGATGAAGACGCGGTGGACGAAGGCAGACAAGCGCGGCATACCGGGCCAAGCGGGACGCGCCCGCGTTGCGCATTACTGCGTCCGACTTTCCCGCCGGACTGCTCCATGTCCCACGCCAAGACTGGTCGACAGTGCCAGGCTATCAGCGCCGGCCACACGCGTACCCGAATGCGCCCAAGCTGCATGTTGAGATCTTGCAAGCTGCGCGCCGGGCTTCGGTCGCATGGGCAGCGGGGCGGTGGCGCGAGATCGACGATGAGGGATTCGCCCTCGTCGTGCTCGACAAGGTCATGCAGTTGAACGAGTACATGCGCACCCGCACGAGCTCGGAAACATCTCCCACAGGCAAGGTCACCACCCCCGATCTGCCCTTTGCGTTCGTTACTTACTTTGAGAACTGGAAGGAAGGTTGGCCATGCTCACGGACTGGATGTACGACAAGGTGAGCGGGAACACATTGGGCTAGGTCACTCTAGCGATGGGTTTCTAGCATGGAGCGAGCGTAAGAGCTAACGCCCAGGCCATTATCGCCGCCGCACCGCCAGCCACAATCCCTACGTTGGAATTTGTGCAAGAACTCGTGCTTCATTTCTGTGAAGCGTTCCATGATTCGACGGATAGCGTAGTCGCGGGACGGTGCTGGACGACATTGCAAGGTGTGCTGAGCGTCAAGCCTTTGGGGAAGTGGTACAAGCCGTACTGCAAGTCAAGGGCGAAGCCGCAGCCACAGCCACAGCCAGGCATGCCAGGCAGCCGCGTCCATGTCCAGGACATGCAGGACACCCCGCGCCTGCCGCGCCAGAAGCGCAAGATAGCTGGACGCGTGCACCGCGTGGGCGATCTTTCGCCGCTGGCGAGCCATCTGGCCGATCTAGCTAGGCGTTCGCTCGAGTCCAAGTCACGTTCGGTGATGGCGCCTGCGCAGCATGTGCAGGGTGCGCAGGACCACGCTTAGGCATCACATCATGTGCCCTTGTGCACACCTTGTGCATCAAGCCGCTACGATCGGCTCTGTACCAAAGAAACAAAAAAAACTGGAACAAAATCTGCGGAAATGATGTAATTTAGGAAAAAGAATGTAAAAACTGCTGTTTGTCTGCCTGTCTACTATATCGCGTCTACACCACGTCTACGCCAGCGCCTACGCCACGGCCGCCTCGACGACGACGCCCTCGACCTGGCCCGCGCCCCCGTCGCGCCCGCCATCGCGCTGCCTCTTGATATGCCTGAGTTCCTCGAGCCTCGCCTTGAGTTTCGGCACCTGGAGGAGCCTGTGTTCGAGTTCCTGCTTCTCCTCCTGGAGTTTGAGGCGCTGCTCCGCATCGAGCTCTGTGAAGACGTACCCGCCCTGTCCGTCATACTGCAGCACGAGCTTGTGGTACTTCCACAGACTCGGGCGGTGCGAGACGGTCATGAGCGTGATGCCCAGATTGGTTGCGTGGTCGTACATGGCCTTTTCGATCTCGAGCGTCACTGCGCTCGTGCACTCGTCCAGGATCGCGTACTTGGGCCGATGGTAGAAGAGGCGCGCCATGGCGATACGCTGCTTGTCGCCGCCGCTGAGGGCGTCGCGCCACTCGCGCACTGCCCCCCAGCCGCCCTCGCGCTCGACAATGTTGCCGATATCCACCACCTCGAGCATGCCTTGCAGATCCGCGTCCGTCACGCCCTTGGCCAGCATCTGCGCGTGGTTGTCGGGATAGATGATCTGGTCGCGCAGCGTGCCCGTGCACAGGTACGGCCGCTGGGGGATGTAGGTGAAGTCCTTCTCTGGAGGCTTGGAGACGACGCCGCCGTACACGGGCCACAGGCCGCCGAGGATACGGAACATTGACGACTTGCCGCATCCGTTCGGGCCGATCACGAGCAGGTGCTGTCCTGGAAGCACCTTGAAGCTCATGCTCTGCACGAGCACGTCGCCGTTCGGCGAGATCAGCGGCACAGAGTCAAACTCGACATAGTCGGCCTCGACGACCTTGCCGCGCGTGCTCAGCATGCGCTTGTTCGCCTCGACGTCGGCGGAGGACACGAGCTTCTTCTCGTATTTGCCCGCCTTGACGTCGTCCATCGCCTCGAGGAGGTCTGAAACGCGTGCCGTGTAACCCGCCAGCTCGGCGAGCTCCTTGTACGAGTACATGACGCGGCCAAAGGCGTCCGAACTGCTGAGCAGGAGACGACGGTTCGTGACGAAGCCTTCTGTGCGAGAGGCGAGGTCGCCGGATCCCATTCCCAGGGCCTGACCGAGGAAGGTCGGGATTGCGCAGATGACGAGACCAAACGAGCCCCACGCCCATTTGACGACACCCTCTTCGGCCATGCCGTGCCAGAGCCGCACGCCGAGCACCTTGTTCACGTGCTTGATCAAAGCAAAGTAGCCGCGCTCAATCACGTTCTTCTCGTACTCCTCGCCGTGGTAGAAGGCGACCTCTTCCGAGTTCTCCAGCAGACGGGAATGCGTGAAGCGCAGCTCGCCCTCGAGCGTCGCCTCGTACGCGGCGTAGTCGCCGAATGGCGGCGTGATCTTCTTCAGCAGGTAGGCGGACAGCTGCACGAGCGCAGTCAGCAGCACCAAACCCTCGGCGCCGACATTGCGCGAGAGCTGGTAGTTGTACAGGATCACGTCGAGGACGGGCTTGGCAATGTTGCTGTAGATCTCGGCGAGCTTGTTGCTGAACTGCTGGATATCCACCGTCATGTACTGATCCGCGTTCTTGATCCGGTCGTCCAGGTTTGCGAGCTTGTAGTACAGCTTGGCGTCCTCTCCGTCCGGCTCCTTCGTGTCCAGATACTCGTCGAGCACATAGCGCGACAGCCTGGGCGTCAGCTAAGGGAAAACATGAGCTAGCTTACCGTGTCCTGTACGCGAGACCCAGCTCCGACTGGAGATACTCGAGCATCGAGTTGGTATACGTCGCGGGGATGGCGACGGCGCACCATCGCGCAAGGTTCATGAGGAACAGCCTAGGCTGGGCTGTGACGAGGGCCGAGACGATGCTGAGGTCAGCTACTACACGGGGGTGTTTCAGCTGGTCAGAAGTGCAGAGGCGTGGATGCGCATGTGTCCAAGTGAGACACAGCTCCCCTTCGGGCAGATGACTCACCGTCCATCGAGGTCGGCGACGTAGAGACTGAGCGCCGTCCGTCCAAGGAGGAAGCACGAGTGCAGCGCGAGCATGGCGGCCTCGCGGCTGCGAATGCCGGGAATGACGATGCGGAGCAGCTTCTTGAGCCGTTGCTGGAACAGGGGGTCTGACACCGAGACCTTCTTCTTGCCCTTCCCTCCTGCTGCTCCTTTGCGGGCTGCTCCGCCCTTCTTCCCCCGCCCGCTCGTCGAGATCTTGACCCCCTTCCCGCTCAGATTCACGACCGAGCCGGCGATGCAGTACAGCACAAAGCCGGCTGTGAGAAAGCGCTGCACATGTGTTCGGTTCGCGAGATAGGACTGCGTCAACTGCGAGAGACGCGCCTGCGCGGCCGCCTTTGTCCCTGGCGGGATGAGCTTGCTGGCGACTTGGGACATCGGTGCGCCGTGCCGAAGGGATGGAGAGGAGATGTGCAGTCGGTGGGTGGATGAGGTGAGATGAAATAAAAGGCCGGCTGACGATGCGTTTGTTTGAACAAGTGTTAAAGGAGAGAGTGGGTGCGCGATGGACGGAGATGGATCGCGGTGTGAGGGTGTGTGAGGCTTGGGATGACGGCTTGGATGGAGCAGCAGTGACGCCCGTGGGCGATCGTGGGCCGGCTCGTGGGTGAAGAAGCCGGATGCGGACACGGACACACGCGACCGCCGGCCGGGAGCAACCGGTTATTCAAGGCTTGCTCCTGCCAAAATGCGGGGCCAGTTTTCGCCACCCAAAAACAGTCAAACAGCTCATGCACACGCTGCATTGCATAGGCGATAGGCTATGTATGCGTATACCACTGCACTGTACAATCCGGAACAACTAGCATGGATACAAGGAGGAGAGCCCAGTCAGCAATACAGGGGTTGGTTGGGTAATATCAGAGGAGGAAATATTTGAGCTTCTGGGCCATGGTGGACGCCATGAAGACTCCAAAATGAGAAACGCGCACAGTATGCAGCGCACCGGGAATACTGTGATGGCGGAGCGAGAATCGTGTAGAGACGGAAACCGGGGGCATGGGTATGGCGGTGGGTACGAGGCATGGGTGCAGACTTGCGCTGGATGATGATGAGTTATGCACACGATCGTTCGGGATAGTCTATTGTTGCGGGCTCGTCGGCAGACTGCCGTGAGTACTGCTGTGATCGCTGAACTCGGACTCGAACGGGTCCAGCTGCGGCGCGGCGCCCTCGAGCAGCTCATTCTTGCCAATTGCCTTTTCGTTCTTTCCGCGCGTCTCCGGGTTCGGGTTCAGAGGGGACGGTCGTTCCGCCCGCGCGTGGATCGGGAGCTTGACGTTCTCAATGTCCTTGGCAGGGCCATCGAGTGCGTCGTTGATAGCCGTTGCCATACCTTCGGGGTTGTCAGTCCTGTCCATTGCGTTCTCAAGCGCACCGCGCGCACTGAGGCCCTTGAATTCGGCCCATCGGTCGACGCCGATATTCGAGATGACCTCTCGCACATCGACAGATTCGTCGTCGGAGAGCATCGTCGCCAGACGCTGGATCTCGGACGGGACGGGCACTACGCGGTCGCCGTAAAACGCCCCGACGATGAACAGGTCAGCGATGGCACGGGCTAAGCCGAGGCGAATATCGACAATGTCTGTGCTGAGCCGGGGAAGGGCAGGGATGAAGAACTCTTCGAACGCTTGCCTGTTGGGCGGCGGTCGAATGAACTCGCGGAGACAGCGGACAAACGTCAAACGCTGGCGGTACTTTTCACTGCCTGCAAGGTCCAGCAGCATGTTGTGCAGCTTGTCCGCGGAGCAGGCGCTGTTCTGGAGGATCTCGTAGGATCGCGGCACCGCGTACGTCGCCGCATCGCGGACGGCGGCGAAAGGGTCGAGCAGCGCTAGACGCATGACCTCGAGCACGACGCTGACCTCATCCATCGACCTGAACGTGGACAGGAACGACGGGATCTGCAGGGCAAGCTGTTCACGCGCACGCCAGCCACCCAGGGAGTCTTGAAGCCACCCGTCCAGGATTCTTCGGAAGCACTCCCACGCCAGGTCCTGAGGGAGGTTGGCGAACAGGACGTCCACGTGCTCAAAGATGCGCTCGCGGATGTCGTCCGAGCCCGCGGCGCACTGCCTGTAAACGGGAAGGACGTCCTCGGCAACCTGCTCCGGGGTCAATACCTGGGCCAGCTCGTGCAGGAAAGCCGTGATGGTGCGCATGACCCGTTCGCCGGCACGGTCGACGAGACGTTGGAACAAGCCACGCAGCTCGGGCCACCGGTCGCTGCCGAGAGTGAGACACACGCCAGGGAAGTTGTAGCTGGCGAGCATGTCCCACTCGCAGTCGCTGCCCGTTGACTTGGAGTCGTCACAGTACGCTTCGAGGAGCTGAGCTGGTGGGCCCTCGGGGTCCTCCACAAAGGTGTAGATAACCTCGCCGAGAACCTCGAGTAGGGCGTATTGTACTTCCTCGGTGCTGCCCATCAGAGTGGCGACCGTCTCCACAGCGAACACACGACGTTCCGCGTTATCGATGATCCGCTTGCAGAGGGTAGGAAGGGTGACACACGCGGACTGGCGGACGTTATCATCGCTGTCGTTGACAAACATGTTGAAGACCGGGAGCAGCCTGGAGATCTCCTCCGTGGCGGCAGCCTTGGAAACATTCGACATGGCCACCGCCGCTTCGGCTCGCGTTGTCGGATCTCCGTCATGGCCGCGGATGACTTCGTTCACAAAGCCATAGCGCGTGATCTCTTCCGGCGAGTAGAGATCTGAAACATGCGAGATGAACGAGAGAGACAGGGCTCGTCCGAGCGTAGCTTCGTGCAACATTTGCTCGCGGTACAGCTCTTCCTCGTGGGCGCGGTGCGCTGCGTAATCCGGGTCGTCGGGGTCGCCCTCAACAAACATGTTCTCGAGAAGCGCATCGGGGATATCCGTCGAAAGCGTACCCATTCCCAGCACGATGCCCCACAGGAGCTCCTGCTCCACGAGATCCCGGGCATCGTGGGTGAAGGGCATCGACACATGGCAGTGGTGCCCAGACTGAGAGAGATACGTCTGTGTCGACTCCTGTTCGCCCTCCTCGGCCTTTGCGCCCCACGTCTCGACTGTCGGGCTCTTGCCTCGGAGGCGGGCGATCACGGATACGATTCCGTTGCGGACAGGGTCTGCGATGGCCGGGTTCTGGCTGAGCAACAACGTGCCCAAGAGCGGTCGGAAGAAGTCCACGGCAAGAGTCGGAGGGTTCACAGTCTCCGCATTCTCCGAGCCCTCCTGAGGGGTGTTTTGGGTAGTGCCGAGCCCTTCGATTGCGCCCCAGAGTTTTCCATGCGGAGTGTCTTCCGACGTCGTGCCCGACACGGTCGTTCCTGGAGTACTGATTTCAGACGGTTGCGAGCCCATCGGGTTGCTCGACGACAGAGCTTCCTGCAAGGAGAGGTTGTCGCTGCTGCTGCTTCCACCCATGGACGTCGACGCTGTGCTGGCGCTCGGCTGGTCCAAGCTATGCGTTCCCGAGCTGGGGGTGCTGTGCTGTCCTTCGTCTGGATGACCATCGCCATCCTTCGAGATGCACATGGCGTTGGAGCTGGGACTTTCGTCCACCTGCGGCACAGGCAATGATGGGTGAGATATGATAGGGACTTCGCCCTCGTCCATGTCCTCGTAGGCGTCCTCGCCAGGCACCAATCGACAAGTCTGCGCATGGTTAGCATAGGTCCCAAAGCTCGCGGTTAGACTCACAGTGAAGAAGTACCAGAGAATCCTGTGCAGATCGGCGGCAAAAGCCTCTTTGACGGTGTCGTCGTCGTCGAGGGAGAATCCCGAGATAAGCGGCAGAACATATTCCACAGACTCGCACGGGTCCACATCACCGAGCAGGTCGCCCAACACCCTCGCAACGTACGCGCGATGGAAGGCGTATTCACTCCGGCTGAGCAGGAAGATACGCTCCAGCGTCGAGAGACCTTCGTCGTCGAATGCAACGTCCATTTCCGCCATGACGTTCGCCTGCTGAGGCACCATGTCTCCCTCATCAACCAGAATAGCGTTTCCAGTTCCGGCATCGCCGTGGAAGGGGAACTCGCTTGGAGCGGTAGGCTGATGTCCCGATGAGGGGAACACAACACTTGGCCCGGTAGGTGTTAGCTCCGCATACTCTGTCCGAGTGTCGTCATCTTCATCGTCATCATCCTCAAAGGGGGACTCGTCTGGTATCGGCCGGGGTGAAGGATCCCGAGGTGGTGACGGCTTCGGAGGCTCCAGGCTTGCGGGCACTTGGTCCAAGTTGAACCGTGCCGTGTCGTCCATGTCCATAGGACTAAATGAAAGCATCTCGCTCGATGCGTGCAGTTGCTCGAACGACGGGATTTCGGGTATCCGATGGCTCACAACTGCAGCGGCCATGTTTCCCAGCCGCGTATCCTGTGCAGACTTGGAACGTCGCGATAATGGTGGCCGTTGCGGTGCTGGGGGACCACGGGGTCCAGCGTCTTGCTGAGGCAGATCGTTCACCGCTGAGGCGGGCGAGTTGCGACGAGAAGAGCCATTGGATTTGCTGACGATCGCAGTCTCCGATAGCCGTCGGGATGGAAGGCCGCTGTTCGGAGCTGCCAGCAATGTAGAGTTCGAGCTGGGTGTTCGTGTCAAAGTGTGGGAAGTGCGTTCACCGGACAGAACTCGTGGGGTTGATGCAATCCACTCTTCCAAGTCTAGAGCGGGGCTTCCAGGCTTGGAGCGGCGGCCTGTGCTGTTGCTTGATGACGAGGGGGCTGGCGAACTTCTGGAACCATTGTCGGCCGCTGACCGGGGGATAAAGGTATGTGCAAGTGGGTGTGTGGGTCCGGCTCCAATAGCTGCCCTGTTGGAAGAGCCCAAATGTAAGCGGTCCGAGTGCACAGGCTCAGAATGTGTCCGAGGCGACAGAGGACGTTCAGATGCGCCCTGTGCGGGGGGACTGGGCCTTCGCTGAACCACCAGTTGAGAGAAGGATGGCGTCACGTATGGCGAGACCGGAGCCATGGGAAGCCTGGACGTGGATGTCTCCGGCAGGTTGACATGTGGCGAGTTGGCGACAGGCCACTGTGCGTTGTGTCAGTTGTCTGTCCGACCGTTCGTCATTTCTGTGTCACTCACCACACTGTCCCAGGCATGAACCATCTCGTCCGCGCCTCCTGCCGGCTCTCGCAACCTCATCCATTCCTCGGCTCCAAGTGGAGACTCCATATCTGTACGTGTCGGAATCTGTTCCGCAATGCTGAGGGCCGAGGCATTCGGCACCGGCGAAACGACATTGGCGTTGGGGTCGGACGACTCGTTTCCTGGGCTGGAAGACGCCGTCGATGTCCGCCTACTCGAGTCACCGCTGTCCGAGAGGATGTGGCTAACAAGCTCATCCCGCCGGGCGGCTAAGATCTCGCCGCTGTCCGAGCTGTGGGTGCTTGATGTCCCCGACAGAGCTCGTGACCGGCTGACCGAATCGCTCGAAAGACGCTGGATGGCACGGATTTGTGGACGTTGCGGGAAAGGTATCGGCGGGACATCTGGAGGGAGGGCTGACGAGGAGAACGTTGATTCTGTTGGAGATGCGAAAGAGGGCGGGGAGCAGATGGGGTTGGAGCTGTTATCCGGAAAGGGCGCTCTCGAAACACCAGCGTTGAACGGGTCTGGAAGATCTGTCGGCGGCTGGATCCCATGCAGAGGCTCCTCGAAAGATAGATCCGGCTCAGGATTGAAGTCGGATGGTGGAGGAGGGGGGTTCGATGTCGACGACGACGAAGCAACCGACGATTTGCGATGTTGATCGGAATGCACTGCCGTTGATTCCGGCGAACTACTCGTCGAAGGGGACGAGGGCCCAGCTCGAGCCGAAGGATTCCATCCCCCGCCGCTGGCCCTCCTGTCCTCCGACGGCATGGCTCACGGGGGCGTGCTGATCCCCAGAGACGCGGTCGAGAACGATAGAAAGGGGAAGAGAGTAATGCTACACCGACGAAGGTGCCTCTTAAGAAAGGTCAAGCATTCAGGAGGGACGGTGGATGAACTCAGGTATGAGAGAGGAGATGCACGCCGCTGCTGCTGTCGAGATGCGGATCGGAGCGAGGTCGATGCGCTGGTCGCTATGTAGCGGTGTCTCGGCAGGCAAAGACAATCGGCGCGTGCAAACTCAGGTCTAGAGTTGTCCCAGAGGCACACAGAGGCGCAGTCGTCCGGGTCGGTGGAAGCAAAGCGGCCAGGGGACTGGGCGAGACGGCTCGATAGGGGCCGAACCGATGGAAAGTGTGGAGTGTGTATGTGTGTATGCCTGCAGCTGTCGGCCTGCCGTTAAGGAGAAGAGACGTTAACGGCAAGTGCAATGGAGCCGAAAGAATGCCGATGGCGCTGCTAAGGGTAGAGGCAATGCAAGCGACTGGGTGACGATGCTGCGCGAGACGAGCTCCGACAGAGGTGACAAAAAGCGCGGCCGGGAGCGTGCCAGTGGGGGCGACTGATGACGGATGTCGTGGGCGCGAGAGGGCGTGAGGGTCGGGAGGTGGACGTTGGAGCTGGGGAGGAAATGGGTGTAGGTGTGTGTGTGTGTGTGGTCAGAGGTGGACGTAATGTGGTGGTGGAATGATGAGCTCTATGTTGAGTTGTGTCGAGAGGGTTGATGAATGTCGGGGTAAGGTAGTTTGACCAATGAAATGTGGTTTTGGTGGAACACGCAGTTGGGAGGTGGTGCGGGTCGTGGGCTGCGGGGGAAGGAAGGGTTGATGAACAAGGAGGATGCGAGTCTTGGTGGTGGTGGTGGTGGATGTGGGTGTGGGTGGTGGGTGGTGGGTGAGGATTTGAGCGGGGTGGTTTGTCGGTGGACGGTGGTGGATGATGAGCGGGGCAGGCGGGCAGGCGGTGGGTGAAGGGCTAGGGCGAGGATTAGGGAGCGGTGAGCGTCGAGTGAGTGGTGAGTGAGTCATACCGCCCAGCGTGCCCAGCGTGCTCTCAACAGTGGGGTGCCTGGCTCCCCCGACCTTTGCCTCGCCCGCCCTGCCCGCTTAGCCTCGAGTCCTGGGTGGCTCCGTCATTGCTGGACCCGCTCAGCCTGTGCGCAGCTGCCCGTGCAGTGTGCAGTCATGCCCTCAATCCATTACAATTCCAATCCCAAATACTAATCCGCTCTCCATCGTCAATAGCGCGTCAATTACAAAATGTAACAGAGCTGCTCTGTTACCTACAACTACACTCGCATTAGTGTCGATGTCGTAATAGCCCTTATTACCCCGAGGTTCCGCCGTCACCCTGAATCTGCAGAGTCCTGACAGGTAAGCGAGCTTCCTAATTGGCCACTTGAAAGATCAGCGCAAGTTGTAATAACACGTGGGCGGAGCGACGGATGGAGTAATTGGTGCGGTACATGTTAATCGGCCTTGGCCAAAAGGCTTAGGAGGTTTGGAGTGCTTGGCTCGTCGTCACTCGCAGCCGGCGCGCAGCCGCTGGCGCGTAACTCTGGTACTAGGTACGCTCGTGGCCGCAGGGTGCGCGGGGCGTAGGGCGGAGACGGTAGGGCGACATGGGGAGGGAAGACTGAGCGTACAAGGCGCCCGGCGGCCTCCCAAATATCCAGGAAAGGCGCGGGTTGGCCACCTGACGCCCCGACGCCTCCGCGCAGAACCGCCGAGTTGTCAGTGGGATCTTGGACACCGCGGTGCCTTACTCCCGCCGCTCATCGTCGTTCCTGCCTCCTACAGACGTACATACGCGCTCGATCATCCCACCCAAACCCCTTGGCCCTTGCTCCCCTCCCCCCTTCATCGCCATCTCATCAACAATCCCCCTCTCCTCGCCTCTCATCCATCTTTCTGTTCATTCTGCTGCTCACTGCCCATCGTCACCCTCATCGCTCTTTACCACATCCACAAAAACACACTCCCTCTCAACTTCCCTTCCTCGCCCCTTCCTTCTCAACTTTCGATCCCTCCGCCGCACGCACCCCCTCACCATGACACCGCTATAAAGTCCATTCGAACCTCGTCTTCCCCCCCAAGAGGCCCCAGCTGCCAACGGTATCATGTACCCAAACAATAACAACTACTACGACCCTCCGTCAGACCCAAACGCGGGACCCTCAAACCTCGATGACCGCGACCTTCAACCAGGCCGCAACCGGTCCAAGACGTTGACCACCATTCATTCCGCGGTCTCCCAGGCGACCCTTACCAACAACAATTCCACTCCACCCACTCCAAACCCAGCGAACGACACAGGTCTGTCCCAAGCTTCTCTCGCCACTGCTCCTCAACGCTCCACGCAGCGAAAGGTTCGCACTGTTCCCCGTACGTGCACTGCCTCCGTATACTGGCTGACTTGTTCGCAGCCTCCGCCATCAATGACCCTCCAACGCCGCCGCTGGCGAGTGGTCCCACTTTCGATGATTCAGTGCTGAGACCACCCCGACGGCCGAAACGTGTGAGGCGTTACCGTCACTACCTCTCCGACAGTGGCTCTTCATCATGCGCGAGCGACGAGAGTAGCGACGACGATGACGAGCCACCATGGTGGACCTTTACACAGCGCGGTATGAACCGCCTCCGCAGTGTAGCGCACCCTTCGCGCAGCGGCACGGGCGCCCATGACGCTTCCGAAATCGTGACTGAACCCGAATCTAGCAGAGAAGGTGGATACATTGATTGGCGTCACCGGCGCAAGAAGGATCGAGGCAGCGGCACCCCTCCCACGCGGCAGAACAGTGGCGGACACACGCCAAAGAGCAGCGCCGCGCGTCTGTTCGATGCCCGTCACTTTCGGACCGCCCGCAGCTCGAGGAACCAGTCGGTGGACATTGGCGGCGGCCACTCGACAGACACGGGACGGAACAAGAGCACGCCGATGCTGGATCGGATCGACACGAACTTGGCTCCCAAGGTCACACGCAGCAACTCGGCCCCGATCAGTCCCAGGTCCAAGTCGCCCAAGTCCAAGGCCGACGGCCCGTACACTGCCGATGGTCGCCCTCTCGTCCGCACGTCGTCACCAGAGGGTCTGGAACGTCTCTCCAGTGACCTTACTGACAGCTTGCCCGTCTCGCCTCTTGCCAAGCGACCGAGAGTGAAGCGATTCCTCACCGCCCCAATCCGCAGGCACAGCCTTGATGGCGCGGACAACTATACGGATTCTGAAGCGACGATGCTAGCGTCACCGCGCCTGCGAGCCAGGCAGCGCCTGTTTGGCCTGAACTCGAGCATGTCTGGACGTGTCCCGGAAGAAGGAATCGAAACGCCCCCGTCCGCAAACTCGGCATCGAGGATGCGCCGCCTGAATGCGCAGCACCTCAGGATCCGAATTCCTCCAGAGATGAAACAGCATCTCAAACACGGTTTCCATGCGGGCTCGTGGCAGGACGCCTTACGGTACGGCACGCTGGACAGTGACGACATGCACGACAACTATTTCGACGCTGGCCACTACCACCGCAACAGCGACCCGATCGCCGGTCTCGGGAAGGAACCCAAGATGCGTGCCGCATCTCTGGACGGCCACACCAGCGCACTGCACAGCGGCGTTACGCCGACGCCTGTTAGCACCAGGTCGTCGAATGGACGCACCATGTCGCTGAACGGCCATTCGTTCCTTCCGACACCCGAGGCGGCTCAGGAGACGCGAGAGCAGCGGAAGAAGGAGCGCGAGGAGCGAAAGCGTCGCAAGAAATACAAGCGGTACCAGCCGCAGACGCTCCCGCCGCCTACGCCCGGCGGTCCCATGAACCTCATGGTGCCCGGGGAGAAGAAGGCGCTCGGGAGGGAGAACTGGGGCACCGCGAACAATGGCCTGCCGCCGCCGGACCCGGAGACGAACCCCTTCGACCGACTGAACGCGTTCGATAGAATCGACGAGGAGACGCGGTCGTTCACATCGCCTAACAATGCGATCCTCGAGAAGCAATCGCCGCGCTCGTGGGCGCCATGGTGGTTTGGGTGCTGTCGGCGACGCCGTGCGCATGCTCCTGTCGACGACCTGGACTGGCGCACGAAGATGCGGCGCATGCTCTTCCTCGACGCGCGCATCACGATCTACATCCGTCTCGTGAACCTCGGCATGGCAGCGACGCTGCTCGGGCTTGCGATTACGATCCGCCTGATGCTGATCAGCCTGAACATTGACGGCGTCATCGGGCCGAGCACGACGCTGATCATTGCCTATGCGTGCCTCACGATCGTACACGCCCTGATGGCCATCTACAAGGAGTACTTTGGCCGTCCGATCGGGCTCTGGGGCCTGCGCTCCAAGATGCTCTGGGTGTGTCTGGACCTGCTCTTCATTGCGCTATGGAGCAGCGCGACCACGCTCGCCATCAACGACTACATCAACACGCCCCTCGACTGTACGCCTATGACGCCGTGGTGGACGAGCGGGTCCGACTACTACAACTACCAGTACAGCTACCACCCGCAGCGCCTCGCTGCGACAACCGGTACAGGTACGAGTCCGCGCGACCTGCAGATCACGGACGAGCTCCGCGCCTCGCCGCAGGTCAAGCACATCTGCGAGCGCCAGATTGGCTGCTTTACGGTGTCGATTCTCTGCCTCCTGCTGTACTGCGGGAACATGATTCTCTCCCTGTTCAGGATCTTCGAGACGGTCCGCCGCACAGCCACCCCGATCAGGAGCATCAGCATGTCCGTGGGGCCGTAGTGGGCCTCGACTGTATCGAGCGGGCATTCGGGAATTTCGGATAGCTCCTCGCAAACATAGATTCACGGGTTTCGACTGCGTTTATATTGTGTACAAAGTTTTGGACTCTGCGTACTGGTACTTCTTCTACTGCATGTTTTATGTACTCATTCTCTGCACATATGATACACTGTCTGACTCGATGGTCGGGCGAGGTATGGTGAGGCTGGGGCGGGCGTGTGACGTGAGGTGCGCAGATCGGGCCGCGGCCTGGGGCACCGAAGCCTGGTGGTGCGGAGCCTTAGTCGGCGTGCAAAGTGCGCAGCGAAGCGAGATCTGGATCGGCGCGGGCGTGCGGGCGTGCGGGCGTGCAAGCGTGCTGGTGTCACCTCCTTTCGTGCGTCGCGCGTCGTGCGCGTCGTGCAGTGTGTGCATCGTTCTCATGACGGAGGATATAAGCACGGAATGGAGGGTTGGAGGGCTGTATTCCCCCCACTGCTTCGGTGCCACCGAGTCATCACCCTCCGCTTTAGCCGCTTTACTGCAACTCTATCAGCGCCAACAGCAGCAGCAAGTGAGCAGGATGGGCGAGGCGTACCAGCCCGTGAGTCCATCTTCCCATCCCAGCGCTCTCCATGGCTCTCTCCAATCTACGTTGTTCCCCGTTCCCACCCTACCATTCTGCGTACCAACGCGACCAGCAGTCTCTGTTCAGTCCACAGCTCCCTCCGACCAGCAGTCTCTCTTCAGTCCACAGCTCCCTCGCTTCCCTCGCTCCCCTCGCTCCGCTCCCTCGCATGCTGACCAATAGCCACCGCAAGCCCCACCCCCACTCCACTTCTCCCCCCTCAGCCCAACCTGCAAGAGGGGATGTTGCCTCTCGGACGCCGAACACGTGCATTTCGACTACTTCACCGGGAGCCCGCGCATCAGCGTCACGACTTGGATCGTGAGGGGGCCGCCGGGGTGGTGGGCGCCGTGGAGCTTGCATGAGATCTAGCAGCGCCGAGCCCCGAAGGGGCCGAAGGGGCGAGGCAACCATGGGGGACCGCCGTCCAGCCGCACTCTCACGGATCATAGTCAACCAGCCTGGCGTGGACTTTGAAATTTATGATGAAGCTAGGTGGACATCAAGACATCAGAAAAAGTTGGGTGTAGAGTCTGCGGTGAGATGGGATCAGTAGTGTAATGATACAAGAATGCAGTACATGAGATACCAGTACAGGGTACAACACTTTCGTTTGCCTTGTTCGTGTCTAGTCAACGTCCATACTGCCTCCTCCCCCTCCTGCCCCAGTTCCTCCAGACGCTCCTCCCGTAGCGCCAAACACACCCGCCAGACCTGCCGGCGGGATGTATCCAGGAGCCCCAAACCCGACGCCCATAGCCGCCGCGCGCTCCGCCTCCCTTGCCGCCGCCTCCATCGCCTCCATCTCCGCCTCGTCGACCTCGTCCAGGTCATTCTCCCAGTCATCGTAGCAGTAGGCCTCGTACTCGCCACACTGCTCCAGGGCGCGCATAGCTTGCTCGTGCGCGTTACTGGTCGTGTACGAGCCGGGCGCGAAGCCGGACAGACTCGCCGCACTCGTCCCGTTCAGCTGTATTCCAAGCGTGCTGGAGGGGATCGCTCCGCCCACGCCGCTCGCGCCACTCGCGCCACTCGCTGCGCTCGTTTCGGCGGCTCGCGCCGCCAACGCTTCCACCTCGGCCGCCTCGGCCATTTCGATCTCCTGCAGGAGCTGGCGCTCCTCCCTTTCCAGTGCTGAGAGATCCTCCTCCCAGAATTCGGGCAGGAGGGGGTCAGACCCGCCCGTCTCTTGCTCGTAGGACACTAGCGCCGCGTGCTGCGCCTTGCGCCGTTGCAGGATCATGAGTCGGCGGAAAATCTGGGGTCAGCGTGCGAAGAGGAGAACAGCTGCAGCCGAGAGCGCCGGGGCTCCTGCCTCTCCATCGCAGGAAGTGACGACACTCAGCTCAGCCCAGCTTAGCCTCGGGCTGCCCTGCGGGCCACCCTCGGGTACTCACCTCCTCGTCCTCCTGCATCGCGCGCTGCTCCGCGTCCGGATCATCGAGATCTGGGGGCGGCTCTGTGCCTCGCCTGCGCGCAATCTCCGCGTCGCGCGCACTACGCCTGCGCTGGCTGTCGGCCAGGCGGCGGGCAAACTTGTCGCGCCACATTGCCGACTCGGTCGGGGTCGTGTCACCGCTGAAAAAGTCGCCAGGCGAGGACGGCATCCGGCCCCCAGGGCCGGGGCGGCGGGATGCCAGCGACGAGCTCGGCGTCGTCCTGTATCGTGCTGAGAGGGGAGTGGTGTTGCTTCGCCCAAAGAGGGGCAGGCGCGCCGGGCTCGAGTAGCCGCCTGGCGTCGGCGAGGAGGGTGGCGGGGACGAGGAGCGCGGGTTCAATGGTGATGAGGAGCGCACGGCGTGTGCCGCGTGCGCTGAGGCGGAAAGCATGGTTGGAAGGCGTTAAGGAGTGGTGGGAGAAATCAAAATCACAAACAAAACATGGCCCCGCGTAATGAACCACGCGCCCACCGCTCATTTACCCCGTGCGATTAGGTACTGCCTAATCACCCTGTCCAGCCCCTCGATATTCATTAGCGGAACCAAATATTCATTACCCATGACGCGTCGGTGCACGGAACGCGTGAAATCAATGTCTGGCGGGGCTCGGACGGCAGTTGACTCACCTCCCCCGTTGTTGTTGCCACTACCTTCTCATCCGTGCTCGCCATCCATTCGGCTGCATCCGCCCACTCCCCCGTCTCCCCGACAAGCCTGCCCAGCATGCCGTCCAAAACGGCCAAACTGGCAAAGCTCGACTTCAAGGAGAAGCTCATCCAGTCCGGAAAGGGCGGAGGTCAGGAGGCACTCCTCAAGCGTCTCAAGGTGAGGTCGAGTGGCCATCGCGTTCGCTGACATTCAGACCCTGCACCTCAAGCTCAAGGACCTCGAGCAGGACGGGACAGATCTCAAGTCGCTGAATGCAGTGCACAAGCAGCTCATCGACCGCATCATCCTTCACCATAAGGACCGCGGCGTCAAGGCGTATGCTGCGTGCTGCCTCGCAGACCTCTTGCGTCTGTACGCGCCCGACGCGCCCTACACCGGCGACGAGCTCCGCGACATCTTCCAGTTCTTTGTCGTCCAGATTACCCAAAACCTCAAGTACCAGCCGGGCACGCGACCGCTCGCGCCGAGCAAGAAGAGCAATGACGCCCAGTCTCAGCCGTCACAGGCGACGCGTATCAACGAGATCCCCTACTACAACGAGTACTCGTATCTCCTCGACAACCTCGCGTCGATCAAGAGTGTCGTTCTTATCTGCGAGCTCCCCAGCGCCGATGACCTCATCACGACGTACTTTGACAGCTTTGCCGACATTGTCCGCCCGGACATGAACAAGCTCATGGTCCGCAACATGGCTAGCATCCTCGCCGATCTCCTGAACGAGGCCGACACCGTCCCGACTGGCGTCATGGACTGCATCTTTGGCCAGTTTGAGAACTACGGAACTGTGAGTTATCAAGAATTAATACGCAGCTGACCCGCAGACACCAGACCGGCCCTCGTTCCAGCTCATCGCTGACGTCTGCAACAAGAGCGCGCTCAAACTTCAACGCCCGACGTTTGCGCACTTCTCCGAGATCCAGCTCTCGCACGGCCGCGACCCGAGTCCGAGCGACCTCAAGATCCTCACGTCATCCCACCAGCTCCTCCTCACCATTTTCCGCCACGCCCCGAACCTGCTTCTGAACACGATTCCTCTGCTCGAGGAGAACCTCCAGGCGGCCGAGGAGGTTCCCCTCCGTGAGCTGTCCACAAAAACACTCGGCACCATGCTCGGAGAGCGGCCACAGATTGGCAACTCGTCCGTCGACATGGCGCGTGCCTTCCCTTCCGCCTGGCGTCAGTGGCTCGGACGAAGAGTCGACAAGGCTCTTCCCGTCCGACTCGCTTGGGTCGAGGCAGCCGCTACGATCCTTGTGAATCGGCCTGAGCATCGCGAGGTTATTGAGGGTGAGTTGCAATCCCTCCTAGAGGAAACTGACACCCAGGATATCTTGTGGACCGCATTCAGGACGCCGATGAGCGGGTACGTGCCGCCGTCTGCAAGATCATCGGCTCCCTCGACTATTCTACTGCCCTGAACCACATCAGCCAGCCACTGCTCAAGGCAGTCGGAGGGCGAATGAGCGACAAGAAGTCGTCGGTACGAGCTGAGGCTATCGACGCTCTCGCCAAGCTGTGGCACAACGCCTTCACCGAAATGTAAGATAAACCCTTGGTGCTGAACTGACGACACAGCGAGGACAACAGCGAGGAGGCCGCCGAACAGTTCGGGTGGATTCCGCAGGAGATGCTGTTGACTCTGTTCCGCAAGGATGTCACCCCGGAGCTGCGTGGTCAAATCACTGTCGCCTTCAAGACCAAGATTCTGCCGCTGCCGGCCAAGCCCGACGACGAGCAGGCCTGGGTCGACAAGTTCTTGCAGGTGACCTCGCAGCTGAACGACAACGCGTTGCGTGCCCTTGACCGTCTGACCGGCTTTGTTGGCTACAGCCGGGGACACTCGCCGTGGAGGGCATTCGTCGACGCTTGCGAGGACAACAATGGCGGTATCGCGGACAAGGAGCAGGGCGATCTCGTCAAGCAGCGCATGCACTACGTCTTCAACGCCATTGCCGCCATGCTGTTTGGCGATCAGGACAAGGCGAGGAAGGACATGGAGACGTTCGCCGCCGCGAACGAGCCCCGCATGTACCGCAACTTCCGTGCGATTGTCGACCCGCAGTCCGACCTCCGTACAATCGTAAAGGCGCGCGCTGAGCTTCTGCGCCGCATCCAGCAGGCCCACAGCGGTATCTACGACACGTTCACGACGATCATCGAGGCCGCTGGCTGGAACCTCATCAACCACTCGAGTATCGGCGGCTTCATCAAGCGCCTCGTGAAGCCGGAAGGAAGTAACGCCGCTCGTGTCTCTGAGATTGCAGCTCGCTACCTCGCTCTCATCGCCAAGGAGTGCGCGCCGATGTACAAGAGCCACGTTGACCAGCTCGTCATCGCGATGAACGACAAGAAGAACGACACCCTCGTCGAGGTCGCGCTTCAGTCGCTCGCTGCGCTTTGCAAACTCGACAAGGACGCCGGGCCGAAGGACAAGAAGGTTATTGAGCGTGCGGCGAAGCTGGCTCTTACGGGAACACCTCGGCAGGCCAAATTTGCTTCGCGCTTCATCGCCAACTCTGGGGATTCCGAGGCCGCCACGGAACTCGTCACTGTAAGTTTTTCAGAAGGTTCCAAACTGACGACAGCGTCTCTGGGAGGATCTTCGTGACGGTGACGACGAGCACATTCTTCCCTTGCTCCGGTCAGCGGCTGAGCTCGCAATGTCTGCGCCTGTTGCTTTCGAGACCAAGACGACCGAGATCATCGGCTTCGTCATGAACGAGGTCATGCTGCGCAAGTCGCCCTCCGAGGAGGTCGAGGACGACCGATGGGTGGAGGAAGACCAGCTCGACAACCTGGATCGCGCAAAGCTGGAGGGCATGCGCGTCATCACCCACCGTTCGCTCGGCTGGGCTCGCGACGAGCATGCTCTGGAGCTCGTGGACCCGACATTCCGTCTCCTGACGACCATCATTAAGAATCTTGGTCAGGTCAGCGACATGACGGCAGAGGGCCCGCAGGCGCGGCTCCACATGCGACTGCGTGCGACACTGTGCCTCATCAAGCTCGCGAATGTGCGCCTGTTCGACCGTCACATGACCAAGTTCTTCCCCGACATTGCGTTCATGCTGCAGGACGAGAACTTCACGGTGCGCAACCGTCTGCTGAAGAAGCTCGCCGAGGTGCTGCCGACACAACGCCGACTGCCGCGCTGGAACATCCTGCCTGTGCTCGTTGCGCAGGACCCGGAGGTCGAGAACGTGGCGATTGCCAAGAATCTGATCCTCGCCAACATCCGCACCTGCGCCTCATTGGCTTCGAAGGGTGAGTCACTGCTGCAGTACAAAACTGACGTGTTACAGAGGACCGCATTGACCGCATCGAGATGCCGCTCGCGCGACTCCTGCACCTGCTTGCCCATCACCCGGACCTGGACTGGAGCAGCGCGAGTGAGGTCAAGGACCTGACGCGATTCATTGAGCTTTTCGTCGAGATGGTCGCAAACGGGGAGAACGCGTCGCTCCTGTTCACGATTGCGAACAAGCTCAAGACGGTGCGCGACGCAGCCGAGGAGCTGGACCACGCTCAGATCCAGCGCATTCTGGAGAGCGGCACATCTCGAGCCCATCCCGCCAAGGACGAGGACGGAGATACACCGATGTCCGAGTCCGACAGTGGCACTTCACCAACACTTGTGAGTTAATTTCTCGAAATTCACAGTCATTTTCGGACCCTTTCTGACGACAGAACTTGTACAAGCTTGCCGAGCTCGCCCAGATTATCATCAAGGCGCGTGCACACCACCACGGCTGGAACATCACCACGTCCTCCGTGACCGTCAAGCTTCCTCGCGACATCTTCCACAACCTCCCTGACCCGGCCACGGCGCGCCACGTCGCGTCGCAGACGTATCTCCCGCTCGCTATCGAGGAGTGGGCGCAGGGTCTGGGCCGCAAGCCCGTTGCAACACGACCCGAGAGGAAGAAGCGCGAGCGCCCCGCGCGTAGCCCGAAGCCGCGAAAGCAGCGCAAGGGTGGCCGCCGCGCCGCGCGTGACAGCGACTCGGAGTCGGAATCTGACTCTGACCTGAGCGAGGACGAGGATGAGGAGGGCGAGAGCGCAGAGGAGAGCGCAGAGGAGGAGGGGAACGCGGTGATGGGCCGCGGAGGGCGGCGCAGTGCCAAGGTCCGCGCGACGCGGAAGGTGCAGAAGAAGAAGAGGAAGGAGCGGAAGCGCGAGCGCAGCGTTTCGGCGAAGAGCGACGCCAGCGGCCTTAGTGAGGCGAGCGAGCTCAGTGCGCTCAGCAGTTAGTTTTGGATAAGGCAGCAGTTCACGACATGTATTCTAGTTCACGGATGCGAGAGCGAGGTAGAGGTGTTTGTGTCCCCCGTGTTCCCGAAGCAAGGCGAGACGCGTCCCCGTCGCGGCGCATGCGGGCGCTGTGTCATTTTCAACCGCACACGCTGGTACGAATGGGTCAGGCAGGGGGTACGGAGTCCGCAGAGCGTGAGTCGCACGCCACGAGCTCCTCTTCAGAGGGGGACCACGGCCGTTCCGTAGCTACTAAAACACCCGGGGTGAGACATTGCCACGCCGGAGCCGTCTAACGGTCAGGACGTCGGCCCGCTGGCACGTCCCACACAATGCATGCGCTTCGCCGGGTTGAATAGAAGCATATCGCCGTTCTCTCGGCGAAACGTTATCTGTACCGTGAGTCTAACCATAGGCCGGTGCGTCCAGCATCAGCTGGCATTCCTGTTAGACCAGAACTATGAAATATGCTTATCAACAGCTCTACCTGAGTACTGTCTTGTACATTCAAATTCGGAAAGGAGCACGTTGCGTTGCAGATTGGGGTGTCATTTATTGCAGTGCTCTATCCGACAGACGCCTCCATTCCCCAGGCACCGTCAGAAGTCACTCGGTACACGATATACTTTGCACGCACTGCAGGGGCACCTTCTGCTGGCTGTACATCTGACAAGTCGGCTTTCCGTTCATCCTCCCGCGCCGAAGTGGGCGCCACTACATTTGCTTCGCTTCAGGTTACGTATCCTTCTTGGCGACGAACCCCCCGACGAAGGTGAGAACGGCTATGTAGAACAGCCACCAGCGGTCCTTCTTCGCGGCAATGTAGTTGGCGACTGGCGGCGCGGCGGCCGCGCATCCCACCTTCAAGGGGGGGTAGAGGCCGCTATTTGTTAGCTCCTCGCACGAATACGGTGGATAGACTCACGGGATATAGACGACCAGCACCAGCACGATCCCGACCAGAAATCCGGCGACGGCTTGCGGGCGAAGTTCTGACCGTGTTAGGTGGCAGTAGCTGGAGGCCGAAAGCTAGAGCACAGACTCACCGGAACACACAATGAATCTGCGCCACCACACGGGAGCGCCATCTGCGGTCCCCTCTCCTGCCTCTCCGCCCTCCTCGCCCCCCGCGATACCATTCTCGGCGTCCTCGAGGTTGGCAGCGTTGCCCGCGCCCGCATCGATGTCCGCGCCAGAGGAGTTGTCGTCGCCTGCGTCGTGACTGACGCCAGAGGCGTTGTCATCGGCGGCGTCGTGACCGACGCCAGAGGCGTTGTCTTCGCCGGCGGCGAAAGGTTCGTCGTCGTCTAGGTCGATGACAGTTAGGATGCGGTGGATGTCGGCCAGCTCGAAACTCGAAGTCATTTTGTAGATGGCCTTGAGAGATGAAGGGAAAGAGCTGGTAGATAGGTCATCTTTTGATGGATCACAGTGCTGACCTTGCCGCTGACGTTTGCTGACATTCGCAGCTAGCTTACTGCGACGTGCTCTAACATCCTACGCTTGCTGGACATCGTTTTGAGGACAGGGCTCCCGCAGTGATGGTGCTGTGCGGCAGTCAGACGAGTCTCAGCAGCCACACCACAGACATTCCAACGACGCAATGAACACGGCTGCGATGGCGCGATAGACCGTAGAGCTCGTAGTGCTGAGCTCACGCTCTGATTGACTCTATACATTTGGACTGCGTTTGAAGTCCATTACACCCGGTAGGTGGTTGAGCCATAATCCAGTGAGTGACCAACAGGTGCCATCGACATCCATTAAGGCGAGCCACACCGGAGTGAAAGTGAGCCTCACGTGGACAACGGCACACAGCACGACCGGTGGAAGATGAGAAGACAGGCTTTCGTCCGAGAACATTGGAGCCTAAGATCCATGGGTTTGGGAACTGGGACAATGTAAGCAAAGCAAGCTCTGCGACTGTGCTGCGTAGAACCGTGTGATGTGCGACAAAGAGACATTGCCACGCCAGAGCCGTCTGACGGTCAGGACGTCGGCACGCTGGCACATTCAGCCCAATGTGGGTGCTTCGTCTGGCTGCAGCTGACTATAAGCAAACTGGCCCCTCTCTCGGCGAAAGGTTGAGAGGTCCGTGCGTCTGCACGCGAGTGCCTCTGATACTCAACACTTGGGCGACTTCCTTCCCACGTGTGAACGACCACACACACACACACACACACACACACAAATTTCGGAGGGCGAGAGCAGCCGCGCAGGTCGTCACCCTATCGCATGGGGTGTGACTTGAGCCCCGCCTGAACTACGTCTGCCTATGGACTGCAGTCCGTTTCCTCTGGCTGGCTGCAACAACTGACAAGGGCAACTAAGGCTTCAACAGTATCTCGCATTATGCATAAGCACGCGTTAGACCTGAATGAACTGCGATGTGTTTTCGGGTGGGATCGCGTTGGTGATGATCGGTCCGCGTCGTCGCGCTCATTGAGCAAGGTGCAGGACTCTGCTGAGTCATAGAGCTGCGTTGAGGTACCCTGCCGCAAAGGCGATGATGCCAGTGAGTAAGGACCAAACGTCACGCTGAGCGATAGCGGTCGCAAAGGGGACGATGGCCGCGTTGACGCCAGCACGTAAGGCTCAGATAGGACACTGTCCGTCAGACCAACTCATGGTGGTATTGCAAGGAATTCACGGAACCTTCATGAAAGCCAAGGTAGCGAGACAGAAAGTACACGCAATGATGTAGGAGGGCGGAATCTCTGAAAACGTTAGATTGACAACAGAGGAGGTATGTGCCCGGTTGACTCACCAATGTTGCGGAGTGCTAGAAGCCAAGGGGCCGGGCGCGCGTCGTCTTCCTCCTCTTCTTTTCCTTGAGCGCGGGCTCGAGCGGCGCCTTCCTCCGCCACGACTTGTTCCTCGAGGGCACGGCCGTTTTCGCGGACCTGTTCGGCTGTTTCGAAGTCTGGGGCGACCGTGAGAACTGGAAGGCGGATAGGGCGGGACATGGTTGTTGTAAATCCGGATACGGAGAGGGAGATGGATTATGAACAGTTCTTAGCGATGAACGCTTTATCTTGTTGCTCTTGTTTGTCCACCGTCGCAGCTGGATTGCGGCTCATGCTGTGTTCTTCTGCGCTTGCTGAGCGCTCTCTTGTGGGTAGGGTTCCCGCAGTAACTGCTGTGTGGCTACCGGCTGAGTCGCAGGAGCCACAGAACGCGGCCAGCGGTATACCCAGAACATGGCTTGGGGGATCGAAAGTCTAGCATAAGCGTCAGGCTGGGGCTTCGTGTTGTAGAGTATAGTTGCATGAAGGAAACGACTACAGAACAGGTTGTCCTATATACTGCTTGAGTTCAGGGAAGCGAGCTCGATCATTGGTCGAGCGAGCTCGGCACGGCGA